CACAGCACCCTACTTCCCCAGTACACCAAAACTGTTGAGTGTGTACAAAACTGAGCTGAATTTATGCTGATCCAATATATATCCTATAAGCTGCCTTTTGGAATAACTGTTGGTCCCTGCTTGCTATGTTGTCAATATTCTTAAGGTAGGACAGAAATAAATCCATTGAGGGTTCACTTTATCACGGTTTACTTACACCACGATTGTGTAAATGGTGAGTGACGTTCAAACAGCTAAATAAAACCTGCTAAAATGGTCAACCTTCCTCAGCCTGTTTCTTGTTTTAAATCCTTTTTTGTTCTTTGCACAGGACTATAACATTTTGTCCATTATGATTATCCCAGTTCTTTTCTGAATTAAGTCCCTTGTCTACCACTCATCTAAACATTGTCTCAACTGCTCTGCAATGCTATTCAGTGTGTACGTCCTGCCACTCTAAAGTGGTAACCTCTCAGCTCTTGCAATCTCTGAAGTATCTCATCCAGGACTAAACATAACTAGCATTCAACAACTGCTTGACGCTTTGGATTTGAATGATCCAAAGCAGATACTAAACGTGGTTTTTCCATTCTTCAAAAGCAGTCCAGTAAAAGACATGAAATAAGAAGTTTAAGAAAGCCTAAAAGACCAAAAGACAGCAGTTAAAGAAGGACTAGCCATGAAGAACTTTGAGTATTAAAAATAAGAGGGGGAGAAGCCAAGGAGAAGCCTCAAGAAACAAGGAATCTGGCAAAAGCAAATGAGAAAAAAGAGGGGAAGAGGCGTAGAGGAGCCAGACAACATTCAGGGTCTGAAATGAAAGGGGAATTCTAGAGTTAAGGTGGGTTTGGATCAGAAGCGTTACCAAGTTTCTCTAGCTAAAGAGCCTGGGTGGCAATCTGTGGGTGGCCCACACTTAAGAACACAAAAACTGGACACAGATACAAGTGGTGAGAAGTGTCATGCAGCAGGGAGTGGCAAGAGTCAATCCTACATGCAGTCATTTGGGTACAATGTGCCCTTCAGAAAGGGCATGGTGACAGCATGGACTAATTTACAGAGCCGCCAGGGCAATAACTCAGAAAGCAATACTGCCTTCTCACAACGAGGCAGCCCCAGAATGTTTCATGGTGGTAAAAAGCTGCATTACAGCATACTAAGATCCCGGAACCAATGAAAGGAGACAAGTTTACCAAAACGAGTCTTGACACAGAGTACGTTTTTGGCAAATACATTATTATGCACTCATTCTACTCAGGTCCTGGAGAAACTATTTCATTTCCTTATATGGCCCTTCTCTTCAGCTCTCTCCTGTGTAATAACTAACGTCTTCTTAGAGAAACAAAGATAGAAAAGGAATAGAACCGTTCCACTCATCCCCTCCACCCTTAGTCTTTTTCAGGGAGATGAGTAGAGGCTCATATCATTGAGGGTGTCGGAGAAGAACTACCAGCTTTTGAAATCACTTTTTAAAAACTGAAATAATTTCTGCTGGAGAAATCTAATGTTGATGGGGGAGTACAAGGGAAACGCTCCAATTGTCTATGCTGGCTGCCAGAATTAAGCAGCCTTATTTTAACCATGACATTTTTCTTTAATCCCATTAGAATTTTCACTTTAATACTACCAGAACTAAGACACAATATGCATGTACGGGTAGAAACACCAACTATTTGGTACATAAAATCAAGGAAAATGCCAGATGTCACTCTTAAATGAGACCCGACTTCCAATGTTACTCCTCTTCTTAAAATCCTTCACTTGGCCCTCACAGTCTTCAAATAAAATCCAAACTCCTTAGCAGGACCCCAACTTCATTTCTCAATATATTGCCCTCCCTATTCCAAAATTCTACAGTCCATTTCCTCCCCAAAACTATGCTCCTCTGCCTGGAAAGTCCTTCCCATTCCTCCTTGCTTGGTAAAAATCCTACTCATCCTTCAAAAAACTGCTTGGCTTCCCGTCTCCTCCAGGAAGACTTCCTTGACACCCACTCTCATATTGTAACGATGGGCCCTCCAGGACCAGTTCAACTGACCCCATCTTATCAACAGAATAATTAAGAGTGGTTTTTCAGGAACTAAGACATCTTGTCCAGTTCAGGCCAGGAGAACCCACCAACCCATCAAATGAGCCTATGAAAATGCTTGACAAGTGACCTTTTTGACATCAAGGAGCTAAAAACTCCACTCAGATCACAGTAATGCCGCCATTTTGTAAACATGCATCCTATGAAGAGGCAAGAAACTTGACTATGCTTGCGCAGATCATTAATTACCTCACTCTTCCTTACCTTCAATCATCAATCTCCACACTTCAGACTACCCTGCCCTTCATCCCACAAATTGTACCCCAAGCCCTGGACCGGGGAGGCAGATCTGAGCGCATATATGCCCCTGTTTCCTTGCAGGTCAATCTCACAAAATAAAGCTACATTTCTTGTCCCAAAAGCTGATGCCATAATAACTGGCTTTTTTTACGTGCATCTGGTAGGAGAACCCCATTTGTGCGGTAACACTATGAGCTCTCAGAGGACCCTGTGCTTATTTGCCACTGTACTCACCGTATGACGCTATAATTTCATTTTACTGGCTTGTCTCTTCCACTAGATCCAGAGGACAAGTGCCAAATTCTAGGATTCTATTATATCTTTGAGTGCCCAGGTCAGAGGCCTGACACATAGTACATACACAATAAATGTTTTAGTGAATAGTAAATATAGCCATCTACAAATCTCCCTTTCTTTCAATAGGAAAATACTCTCTCTAAAGCCTTTCATAGAAGAGGACAACTATTTTCCCCCGTTGACCACATTTACAGTCAGAATGATGACTGTGAGAGAGGATAACATTTGGGTCACATCCTTGATAACATTTCAGGAAGTTGGTAGCTGACTGCATCATTAAGACATCAGGAAGGAAGCCACCATTTGGAGAGCACCTATGTGCTGTCAAAGTGTACCGAAATTATGCTATATCTATTACTTCAGTCTTGACAACCCACAGTAACTCGTTTTAGCTCTATTTTGAAAAAGAACTTGAGGTTTAGAAATTTGCCCAAGGTCACACAGCTAACAAGCGATGAAGCCAAACTAATATAATGTGCAAGATCAGGACTAGATTTCCTTCTAAATGAACTAAAAAATGAGGTTGGCTGAAACTAAGATTTCCCACAAGGCTGAAAAAATGATGAAGGCAGCAAATAACTTGTCCATCTCAGACTATGGGTATGCACTTTTAACAATATAAACTGAAAACCAGCCTTGTTCCTGTTGAGAGTTTAAATAATTGCCCACACTGCTGCCATCCTGTCAAATGACAGACTCATCAGACATTTAGTTTGAAGCACTGTATTAAAACAGCTTCTCAAATTTATTTAACTCATGTGGATAACATGGTAGAGTTTTGTATAAAAAGAAAAAAAAGCCACCACTTACTACTTCCTAAGCCTTGCAGACAGCTCAGAATTTAGGCAGCATATTGGGCATACTAACCACAGGATTTGCATTATCCTTTCAAAGATGGAACTCCACCGGCACCAGAGATTTCCAATTCAAAATTCAGTTTTATTAGAGATCCCAGCATAATAATTTTTTTAAAAAGACTGGATTGTTGCTTTTTTCTTTAATTTTGTAGTCCTAAAGGCAATGACAAAAATAACCATTTAAAAGGGATTCCTCTCCAGAAATTTTTTTGTAAAGGTTTAAGTCCACGCTTTCCATTCTTCTCTTCAGCCTTTTACATTTTAAAAAGAAAGGGGTTTGGAATATGTCAACCTTTACTCAGCTTGCTACAAAAAGCCTCTGCCTTCTCTGCCTAGACATTAACGCCAGGACTCATCTCCCAAACCTCTGGTCTTAATCAAGTCCGTGGGGTGCCTGGCTGGAGAGCCCTGGGTGACGCTTGCTAAAGAAGTTCCTCTTAATCCAAGGCCAGTCACAATCTTAACCTTAAACAGTAGACGGCTGACTGCATCACTTACGACATACACCAGGCTAAGGCGGAAGGAGCAAGTCAGACATCCCTCGTCTGTTAGTCATGAGTCACGCCAGCATCCGAGCCTGTGTTCCTCTCCCCAGAGCTCACTGTGCAAGATCACCACCACACCACCTCGATCCACTGAGTTCATTGTCCGGCCATAACGGAACTCACTTAAAAGTTATCACTGGAATAGATGATTTTCCATAAGTAACAAATGAAAATGTTTTATTTGCGTTTAGATTACCAACAACTCAGTCTCTGCATCTCTTCTTGGACAGTCTGTACTTCTAGGCAAATGAGAGAGTTAAAAATACAGAGGAGGAACATCTGTATGTAAAGGTGTGCTTTATCTCTTCCTATTACCTTCCTGGAAAATTGTTGTTTCTGAACGTTCCGGTTCCTTGAGAAGCAGAAATTTTACTTAACTGGGGTACACTGGATATAGGAAGGGATTTCTTTTTAGCCTTCATTTCACTGTATGAGTTTCACTCTCTAGATACTGAGAGTGGGAAAGGGAGACAAGGAAGGAGACAAAATCATGAAGAGCAGTATAAAGCATGCCCTGTGTCAGCAACACGACAAGTCCTCTAATATCATCAATGCTGACTCTAAATAATTTCTGGTGGAGTTGAATACATCATTACATTTCTATTTGTGCTCTGCCTGAGGCTTTTCCCTAACCACTAATTGTGAATGAAGGTCTAGTGAGAGAGCTTTTGTGAAAGGGGTAGAACACTGCAGCCTGGAGTCAGTGTACTTCATAATGGAGGAAAAGAGGATTACAGGGAGATTTTTGTTTCAGCCTTTAGTCCAACCAAGATTTAAAAGACTTACGGAAAATGGCTTCACACAGAAGTGTGGTAGCGGGGAAGGGATGATAGGGAGAGTGGCAAACACATCCAGTAAAATTCAGGGATAAAAGAATACCCACACAAGTCCACAGAATACAAAGGAACAAGGAGGAAGACTTCCTGAGCCATAACAGATCAGGGCATAGGGCCGGTAGGGTGCAGTGGATTAGCCACTAAACGGCTTCAGTGATAACTCTGAAACCTGTTCCAATTTATTTTTGGAGTAAATTCTTCTCCTGGACAGGTCAAAGATTGTGCTTAAAAAATGTCATTAGAAGTTAACAGCTTTTTAAATATTCTTTTGCCTCTTGCTTCCAGGTGATTTCCTTTTGGTTAAAACCAGAAGCAGTATAAACCTTACAGGATGGAAGAACGGTCTTTTGACACAGGCAAGGTGAGGCGCTGGATGAACTTACACAGTAAGTGAGAGTCCGTATGTCTTGGTCTTCTCCCTTGACCACTCCACGTCTCTGACCCAACAGAGACAGCAAGTCACTTCTTCTGGAAGAAGCCAGTAATGGATGCTTGTCTGTTGGCCTTGCCCAGAGCAGCAGTCCCTTTCTTAGCGCCCTTTCGTTCCTCCTTGGGTTCTTTTTTCACAGTTGTGGCTGGGGGTCTGTGTACAGAGGATGTCTTCATCTTAAGCTCCTCTTCACTATCTGTGCAGGATTCACTCTCATAGACTTTTTCAGTCACTGGTAGAATATGGGAAAATGGAATATGAGTGGATTGAGTCATTCAGAACACTACTCTATCAAGAAATTGACATGCCTTACTCACCCCTCAGACCCTCTGATCAAGGGAGGTGTGCTCACCTACCACCTAAGCTTTCTCCCACTGGGAGATCTGATCCACCTTCAGATAGGAAGTATGCATCTTGAGTTCACATAGCCTCTAGCTAGGGCTCTGAATCAACATTCACCCTTACTCCCTTACTGCTGTGTCCCAAGCCTTTAAATGGGCCCTCATCATTTGATTGCCCAAATCCTGTATTTAGGCACTGGTCTATGCTAGCTTACCCTGTGAGCTCTATATTGGTATCCCAAATACCTACTTATACCTCCATGCTTTGACTGACTTCTTCAGTCTTACCTCCCTGACCCACAATGCCTGCTTATATACATGGCTGGTTTTTCTGGTCTTAATCTCCGCTTTACTTACCAGTCCCCAAGCTATCTAGCTATGCTCACAGCCATGGACCCTCCTGGCTAGCGCTATCCTCACATCACCCACTCTCTGCACATCCTAACTACAGAGAATTGGAGATCAGTTACTCAATTGTTCAGTTCCTAGCTCTGAGTGACACAAGATTTAGTAGTAGTCCACAACATGAAGATAACTGTCCCAAGCAAACTCAATCAGAAGACAAACCTGATAGTTTTAAGTAAGGATGATGATAAAATGAGAAACAGTTACCAATTCTCGTACTCCCTATAAGCCACAGGCATATTTTACCTTTTCTCCTACCAATAAAATTCACTGAACCCTCTCCAATGGCAACTTTGAAAATAATTACATCAGGGAGGAGTCATTACAAGGAAGCCCCGAAGGGCAGGGACAATGGCTTCCAACAATGATGTCACAGAACTGATAAGAACTCTTCAATATTACTGGAGTGCGTACACCAACCACAAGAAACAGCACAATGCCACCTTCCTGTGACTTTAGAGAGCTGCAGCAGCTGTGTAACCAATGTCAGTTAAATTCTTTCTCAGCATTCCTGGTTGCAGCAAATGACGGAGAAACAGGAAAGGAAAACACCTTTTCTTAGCTGAACAGAGTAACCTAATATGCATAATAAATGAAAGGTATTAAACTGAAAGGTATTTTTCCATTAAAGAACAATGACAGTTTTAAGCTCTTACTTATTGATCATTTCTTTCTAATAAAATATATTATCAAAGTGTTCTAGAGGCATAGGCTTTGGAATCAAATAGATCTGTGTTCTAATACCTAGTCTGCTGTTTCTATAATCTCAAACTTTAACATGCGTCAGAATCACCTGGAGGGCTTGTTAAAACACAGACTGCCGGACTCTATTTCCAGAGTTTCGGATTCAGTAGGTCTGGGGTGGACCCAAGAATCTGCTTTTCTAACATGTTCCCAGGTGATGAAGATGCTGCTGGTCTGGGGACCACACCTTGAGAATCTCTGTTCTTTCTTCTCCTATAAAATGGGGATAGCACTGCCACCCAGAATGTATGGATGCACCTAGCAATCTTTAGCAAGTACTTTTCAGTGCTATTTTTCACCCTTACAATGGGCCATGCTGGAGGTCAACTAGCTATTACCAGTGGAGCACTCCTTCACCTTGACCATCTAATCCAATTAAAATTGCATAATTAATAGGCCCCTCCCTAAGAGTTCCTAAGATTTGTCATTACTTTCAAGAGCCTAGAATTCACTTTGCTGACTCCTGCCAACTTAGAGGCTAAAAAAACACAAATAAGCTTCGAATATATATTAAGGGTTCTCGAAAGCCTTAAGGCTCCACAGACCAGAGGCACTGGAATCTCCCATGAGCCCATTAGAAATGCAGAATATCAGGTCCTACCTGAGGCCTACTGAAGCAGAATTTGAATTTTAGGGAGATCTTCAAGTAACGCACATAGTCAGTCAAGTCTGAGAAATGTTGCTGTAAGATACTTAGGGAATTTCCATGGCATACCTATTAGTTCAGCAATTAATAACCCAGAACACCATCCCCATCTCATATACAACTTCAAAAGCACTATGTAATTGGATTATTGGAACAAATTATGTGCTGTTATTTACTCAATATCTCAAATTAGGGAAGTCTGAACAGCCATCTGCAGATATAAAAAAGAAAACTACTTACTACTAGATGGTGGCATGACTTGCTCCTTCTGTAAGCTATAAGCTATATTAAGATATTAAGCTATATAAGCTATATTCTGTATTCAAATGACAACATGTCTATAATATTAAACTCCAGCATCAATTAGCTCATTATTTCATTACTTATTAATGAAACCACTGGTTATCTCACTGCCAATTTTGTGGAGTGCATTGCTTGGGGGAGTTAAAAACCAGTCAGGGAAGCACCAACAAAATTTCTTAAGCAGCACACTTGGTATACCTTAAGAGCTAAAAGGAACATTTCTACATTCAAAGCTGTAGCTACTTCAAAGTATAGGAAAAAGGAGATTTCAACTTAAAAACACAGGACCTTTATTTTAGCTAAACATGATGCCACTTTTCTGGGCTGCCATAAAAAAAGGCCCAGTTTAAGCAGGTAACATCAGAATTCTTTTCCATCCAACCATTTAACTCTTAGAAATGCACCTTGTCCAGAAGTCCAGCCCAAGCTTATCTCAGGGGTCCAATTCCCAGTCCCTGTAGCAAACTCATAGAAAGGCAAAGATCAACCTTTAAACCACAGACCAACTCTGACCCAGCACAGGACAGGGCAAGCCCCCTGCACCGGGACATCTGGAATGGTCTGAGCAGAGAGAGGAAAGCAGAACTCCTTTGTTGGTAACAGGAGCCAAGATTCATTAGGTTGAGCTTGCACTAAAAACCGTAAAAAAAGTGCTATGTGAGCACAGTTTTCACTGTTGCATCCAAGGCTCTTAATAGTCCTGTCTGGAGACAGGAGTGCAAAAAAGTCCACAGCCCATACCTGGCCAAAATTTGAGTACTGTTTTGAATAAAGAAATAGGTAATTAGCCACAAATTCCCAATAAACTCTCACAGAGATGTATCTGACATTTTTCTTTTGGGGTAGAGGAAGGAGGAAAAAACTGGCACTGATGCTTTTGTCCTTTTAAATTTAAAAGAAAAAAAATAATAAGAAATTCAACAGTAAAATACATATATTACCACCAATAGTCAAACCAAGAGGCTTGAAAATGCACTACTAAAAGACTGAAAGGAAAAAAAAGAGAGACAGAGATCACTTAAAGTCCAGAATTCATAGGCTCACAGGAAATTTGGCACTGTAAAGACAGAACTTCCACATGCAAAGAGTTTTAGTCCCCAATCCTATGCTACCATTCAAACGGCAGAAGCCTTCTCAGAGGAGTGGGAGGTGGGAAACAATGGAAAGTGGCTCACAATTCATGAGACGTCTTCACCTATTTTAACCACCACATTGCCTAGGAAAAGATGATTCTTCAGAGTCAATCAATCTTTTTAAGACAAAAAGTTGGACCAGAAAAGGAAAGTCAAAAAAGGGAGGGTCTGGCCCCGTGGCATAGTGGTTGGGTGTGGTGTGCTCCATTTCTGTGGCTCAGGTTCACGGGTGCAGACCCTGGGCGAGGACCTACACCACTTGCTGGGCCAGGCTGTGGCGGCGACCCACACAGAGGATGGAGGAGGACTGGCACAGATGTTAGATCAGAGCGAATCTTTCTCACCAAAAAAAAAAGGGTAAAAATGCTTCTCTAGGAAAGCCAAGCTGTGGCAGGTGCCACAGGAAAGGAAAAACAACAATTATAGGCTATCCAACTAACAAGAGGTTTAAGAACATAACCCACAACTCTTTCCAACCACAAAAAGACTGTAGCAGGGTCTGAGCAACCCATCAGGCCTCAAGTGCTGAATTCTAAAAGCCCCACAGAAGTCTGGGTCACTTATGGAAAGAGTAGAACAAGCCTGAATCCTAAGGCCCCTCTAGACCTCCACAGACCTAACATGGTTTACAAACAGGAAACATAAAGGAGGCGACGTGGAGGAGTCACACCCTCTGCAGAACAAGTGGGACAAAATACCAAGAAGACTCTTGACACTCTCTTCAGAGTCTAATATCTATAAGAGCTTCTTTTCCACTGTTCAAATGCATAAAACCACCATTCTAAAAAAACCCATAAATGTTTCTCAACGTCTATGAAAACATTTTAAGTTGGTACTGTAGTTTCTATCTTAAACATGTTTTTAGACATATTAATTACCTCACCTGAATCTTCACAGCAACCCCAAATATAGGCAAAAATAGATATTTACCTCCATTCCACAGATGAAGAAACTTCCCACCAGAGGTGACGTGACTTTTATCTAAGATTTCAAAGCTTATTTTTACAGCATATGGCCCAAGCAGGAACCCAGGTTTTCTAACTTTAGTTGTAGTGTTCTCTATACTCTGCTACTCAAAGTGTGGGCCACAGACAAGTGGCGCAGCATCAGCTGGGGGTGAATCACGTGCACATGAAAGCTGGAGGCACAGTGCTCTCTAAGGGATTATGGTGCCTCTTTTAGGTAATAACTCTGTCTCTGAATTTGGAGCCAAAAAATGTTCCTTACCTATGCTGCCATCCTCATCCACAAAGGTTTTAGATTTCAGCACGCGCTTTCGTTTTCTTTTGTTTTCTCCATTTGAGCTCTGAAAGATCATAGGAAGATCAGAGGATACAACATTAAGCTGACCAATGAAGCTACAAAGAAAAATTACAGAAGCTTTTTAATCTATAACAATCACCCTCCAACATTCCCTGATGACAAAATGTTGAACAAGGAACTCTACACACTTCCTTTTAGGGGGCCGGCAGTACCACACAGACAAGGTATGCTCATTCTATGTGCAGGCTCAATATTTCATTGTTTGTGAGAAGAAAAGTAGCATGTTGAGCAAAGACCTGTGTTCATTCAGTTAAAAAACTCTTGTTGGGTAGTGCAGGCACCATGGCTAAAAGACCGAGAGGAGAAGGACCTTAATGGAGGAGACAGACAAGTAGAACAGACCAATGCAATCCGCTGTGGTAAGGGCTTTGAAGGAGTGATGCAGCAGGCATTATGGGAGCACACAGGGAAGGCCCCTAAACCAACCCAGAGGTTTCCACAGCATGTGCCCTTGTTGTAGATCCTTGCTATTCCAGCCTTAACACTGCAACATTACAAGCATCTAATTTAGTCTCAAACAGGTTATCACTGACACCAAGTTTCTGTTATCTCCACTGGTCTTTCATCTCATTTTCTTTTCAGCTAATGGGGAAATCAGCGCAAAATTGAAAGGATAGTCTTGACACAATGAATTAAGGAAAACTAACAGTCATAAAGAAAAAAAATTTGTCAGCACCCATCTTCTCAACTCTTCATTATCTACACGAACAGATAAAGACAAGATGCAGCTGAGGATCATTCACAACTACATTTCCCCCTTGTTACCAGCTTTTCTCATCTAGCCCTTTTCCAGGAGAGCTTCTGAAGAACCACAAATATGCATAAGTTGTTAGTTCTGTTCTATCATTCACACACTTTGCTCTGATGCAGGCAATACCTCATTTTGCACAATTCCAAAAGGAGCTGAATATAGCACAGCAGCCCTGATGCTGGAGGTCATGAAAAACAAACCAGCTCCCAGGACTGACCTCTGCAACCTTCCTGAGATGCCATCCTATAGCTGAACTCTCACTTCAGGTGAGAAGAGAGCCCATCCTGTACTACCTAGCGGAGAGCAGAATGAGACACGAGCCATCTGCTGGCATTTGTGAAGCAGACAGGAGTGAACCGATTTAGCAGAGTAGTTCTAGGTCCTTGGACAATAAAAGACACTTGGAAAGTCAATCATCCCAGTAAAGTTGTACCTTGATGGAAGAAGGCTCTGGCTCAGTCTTCAGCACTGGTTCCGGAGATGGAGAAGGAGGAGGAGGTGGGGATGGTGACTCAGCTTCATAAGCGCCAGGAGAGTCTGGTACGACTGAAAATAATGAAACCAGCTTAGAGAAGAGAACTATGGCACTATCTGGTGCAACACCTTCTCCACTGGCTCTCTAAACTTCCATGTCCAGCAAAGGGGATTTTGCAAGCAGTAATTCATGACAACCAAGGACTCTGCAGTTATATATCTTTAAATACATATATCTTTAAAATACATGTTTTATTAATTTTATACAAAGAAAATCAGAGAATCAAAAATTATTAGAGCTGGAATGTACCTTAGAGATCACCTTAGCTAAACTTTTTATTTTACAGATAAGTCAGAGTATAAAGTTGTTTTATAAATATCCACTGATTATCTACCATGGGTCATATATTGCACTTACATTGTTTCACTTTATCCTCACTACAACCCTAAGAGTCAAATATTATTATTTGCACATTGGAGTTGAGTAAACAGAGGTTCAGAGAGGTTAATTAACTTGCCACGGTCACAGAGCTTGCCACTGAGGAAGGTTTTAAATCCAAGGCGGTTTGATTCCACAGCCTTACTATTCCAACTATTCCATGCTGCCTTACCACTCAGGGCCAGAAATTTCCTCTTAAGATCAAGTAAGTGGATATAATCCTCAGATTATACCAAATGTTCCATGCCAGAGTCTTTGTGACTGATATGAGGATTATTTGCAATCACCTGAGATGTTTGTTAGACTGAAATTTTCCAGCTGATGTTAAAAGCATCAATTTCGTGGGAAAAATCATCTTTGAAATGATGATCACAATTATAGCTCTAACAATTAAGACCTGCTTACCATGTTGTATGGAAACTATTTCTAGTGATTGCCCTACTGATGAGGCTTGTTTTGCTACACTGAGATTAGCAGGAAAGAACACTTTTAGGAAAGAAATACTGCTATGGAAATGGTACCACTTGAGAAGAGAGCATCACAGAGGGATCCCATCATTTTTGAACAGTTCCAGAAACAGTGGTCTTAGTATAAGACCCATGAAAGGCGAAATGAAAATCCCCAGGTGACCTATTGCTTAATCAAAACAAAGAAACTGCTGGTCGGGGGCCCGGTAGCTGCTTAGCCTCACCTGCTCCCTGAATCTCCTGGCTGTATTCAAATTCTTAGCACAAGTCTTGGATCTGAAATTCTCCCAACTGATTAGGTCAGTGTTAAAAATTATGACAGTGGAGGGTTCAAGGCCAAATGACCTAAAGAGGTGAAGCAGAACAGGAGCCAGAATGAAAAAATAAATTATACACTTCAAGTATGAAATGGGCCCCAAAACTTTATAACCTCTGGGAAACAAGAGACAGAAACATAAAAGGAAAGTGGTCCAGTTATTAACCCAGTTCTTGGAGGCTAGAACACGATGGGAGCTCAGGCAAGCAAGAGTAAAGTCAAACCACAGAGCCAAGCACCCATTTTTCTGAAGGTATAGCCATTAAGAAAGCTGTGTCACAATGTGTTACAGTGGTAGTAGGAAAGTTTATATAGTGAGGAAGCCAAAGAAAAGAAATTTTGAGTACTCACAGTAATAAATTTAGGAGTTCTTATTCTATTTCCAGTTCTGTAACCACTTGACTTAACCAAGGAAAACACTTAATCCCAGTGGCACCCTCTAAGACCCCTCTCACTGCACTGTATGGAACTGTTTATCTAGATTCCCCTCCAGACTCTAAGCTCCAAGAGGCAGAGGCACCACAATTTCCCTGTCAGTGAACACGTACCAATAATTTTTTTAAATAAAGGAAGACAATCATTTTCTCAACTAAATTTGGGATGAGGGGCTTCTAGGTCAAGAAAGAGTCAACATATCCCTCCTTCTCCCTTCCACACCCCCAGAAAGAAACATAATGATAATAAAGGGATAAATGTTGTAACCCCCCTGCAACAGGGAAGAGAACAGAAGAGGAGCCAAGAGCTCTTAATGAATAAGAAACTTCAACAAATCCCTGGAAGATGGAAGGCAAATGGAAGAAAGTTGACCAGAGAAGCATCAGTCAATTAGCTGAGGCAGTTAGGAGAGGTTACTATATATCATAAAACTTCTGTTTTATCTGATTTTTGAAACTGCGTATTTGTATTTCTTTGTTTAGAATTTTTTTTTAATAAAATAGTTTAAGAAAGGAAGGACAGGGAAAACAAATAGAATTTTCTGGGCTTTCTAAACATTAATCATTCATTCTCATAACTACACAAAATCCCTATTACTATTATTTCTGTTTCATACAACTGAGGTTCAGAGATTTAAAAAAAAAAAAACTTGCCCACATTCATATACTAGAATCCATGCCCGTCTGCCAACCATTTATCATCAAGCCAAGCATTCTCCCTCAATATATTTTTAGTGACATAAACATAAGGAATGTTTGATGCATTGGTGTATTTTAAATATACTTGTAATAAATTTGCAGCTCTTCAGAGGAAAGTTACTCAAGTAGTGAAAATATCACTTATCCCAGGAAAGCGATCTTTGTTGGAGCAGAATAAGAACTGTGGTAAAACTAATTTCAGGAATCCAGCAATGTAACCACTGTTTATCAGAGAGTTTTCTGGCAGAGATGGGTAATTAGAATTCCTGGAAATCATTCATAGCTTCCTAGGAATTTTTTTAAACTACCTATCTTAACCTGAAACAAGGGTCATGTGCTTAACATTCTTCATAAACGATTTACAAGGTCTGAAAATGTTAGCAAAGACAAACATATTGGTTAAAACTCTTTCTTTCTAATAGAACAAAGAATCCTAAAATTCATATGGGGCAACCAAAGACTCAGAATTGCTAAAGCAATCCTGAGAAAAAAGAACAAAGCTGGAGGAATCACAATCCCTGACTTCAAAACATACTACACAGCTACAGTAATCAAAACAGCATGGTGCTGGTACAAAAACAGGCACACAGATCAATGGAACAGAACTGAAAACCCAGAAATAAAACCACACATCTACGGACAGCTAATCTTTGACAAAGGAGCTGAGAACATACAATGGAGAAAAGAGTCTCCTTCAACAAACAGTTTTGGCAAAACTGGACAGCCATGTGCAAAAGAATGAAAATCGACCATTCTTTTACATCATTCACAAAAATAAACTCAAAATGGATCAAAGACTTAAAGGTAAGACCTGAAACCATAAGACTTCTAAAAGAAAATATAGGCAGTACACTCTTTGACATCAGTCTTAAGAGGATCTTTTTGGACACCATGTCTTCTCAGACAAGGGAAACATAGAAAGAATAAACAAATGGGACTTCATCAGACTAAAGAGCTTCTACAAGGTAAGGGAAAAGAGGATTGAAACAAAAACACAACCCACCAACTGGGAAAAATTGTTTGCAAATCATATATCCGACAAAGGGTTAATCTCCATAATGTATAAAGAACTCACACAACTCAACAACAAAAAATCAAACAACCCAATCAAAAAACGGGCGGGGGGGCTGGCCCCATGGCCGAGTAGTTAAGTTCGCGTGCTCCGCTGCAGGCGGCCCAGTGTTTCGTTGGTTCGAATCCTGGGCGCGGACATGGCACTGCTCATCAAACCACGCTGAGGCAGCGTCCCTAATGCCACAACTAGAAGGACCCACAACGAAGAATATACAACTATGTACTGGGGGGCTTTGGGGAGAAAAAGGAAAAAATAAAATTAAAAAAAAAAAAAATGGGCAGGGGATATGAACAGACATTTCTCCAAAGAAGATATATAGATGGCCAATAGGTACATGAAAAGATGCTCATCATCACTGATCATCAAGGAAATGCAAATCAAAACTACACTAGGATATCTCCTTACACCTGTTAGAAGGGCTAAAATAACCAAAACAAAAAATAACAAATGTTGGAGATGTTGTGGAGAAAAGAGAACCCTCATACACTGCTGGTGGGAATGCAAACTGATGCAGCCACTATGGAAAGCAGTATGGGGATTTCTCAAAAAATTAAAAATAGAAATACCATATGACCCAGCCATCCCACTACTGGGTATCTATCCAAAGAACTTGAAATCAGCAATTCAAAGAGACCCATGCACCCCTATGTTCATTGCAGCATTATTCGCAATAGCCAAGACGTGGAAGCAACCTAAGTGCCCATTGACTGATGACTGGATAAAGAAGATATGGTGTGTGTGTATACACACACACACACAATGGAATACTATTCAGCCATAAAAAAGGATAAAACCATCCCATTCACAACATGGATGGACCTTGAGGGTATTATGTTAAGTGAAATAAGCCAGATAGAGAAAGACAATCTCTGTATGACTGCACTCATATGCGGAAGTTAAACACATGGACAAAGAGACCAGATTAGTGGTTACCAGGGGAAAGGGGAGGGGTGGGGGGGTGGGCACAAAGGGTGGAGTGGTACACCTATAATATGAGTGACAAATAATAATGTACAACTGAAATTTCACCAGGTTTTAAATGATCATAACCTCAATAAAAAATAAAATAGAAAAAAAAACCCTATTTCTTTCTAGCAATGAAGATATTTCTCTTAATGTTCTTTCTTTCTGGGTCTGGCATTTTCCTACTTTACAAAGACAGTATGTACAACTGCTAAAGGTGAACACTTACTGAACACCTCAATAGGAAAAGTGAGGTGAATAATAAGAAAATCTACTACGTGTCAAGCACTGTCCTGGCACTTGAAGCATTATCTTATTTGACGTTCAGGAAAAGCCTACACAGTTTGTGGTAACATCCCCATCTTAGAGATGAGGAAACAAGGAACTGAAGAAGTAATCTGCCTAAAGTCACACAGTAAGTGACAGAGGTAAGACTTAAACCCAGGTCTGTCTGACTCCACAGTCCCTGCCGCTTCCTCCACTCCTGCTGCTCATCTGCTAACTTCTAGCTGAAGACAGCATATTGAACTAATAGCACATATTCAGTGTAACGGACATAAAACAATAGGTTAGAGACTGTGTGAAGGTTTAAAATAAAATCTCACTGGCTTTGAGACAAAGAAGAAATTTAGGAATAAAATGGCAAAGGTTTATAAATTTAGTCAGACGCCAAAAACTATCTTTGCCAGAGAAAAAATCTGAGAGCCTCTGCTCTATATCATCTGTTATTATAGGCTGTCCACCTCTATCACATTTCTTCTCACTCCTTTCCAAACTAAATAACCCCACTCATATTTCTAATCACCCACGGGTATTATTTTTGTGGGCTAAGGCTCACAACTACAGAGAATATTTCAGAAGTATGTAATGAGTACTCAATCAACCACAGTAATTCCTTGACTTAGAGCTGACTCCTTCACTTATACTAGAGTATCTAGTTTACCTTTTTAATGTACATTAGGCTGACGACTTCAAAGACTTTTCTAAAATCTTCCCCAACTTCTTTTCCTGGTTGGAAATAGGGAAGACTGTTCCAATTAGCACATAGTCCTGAGTTACTTCCTAATTATTTTCCTGTGTGTTTGCATGCAGTTGCCTCTACTTCCTCAACTCTTAACTGATCAGAATGTTCATTGATGGTTCTGGTTTCATCCACACACGTGGGAATCTTCCTTTCAGTGGTCCTGGTCAAAGCATTTTGATAAATGACATGGAATGAGTATACAGCAACTACCTCTCTGGGATGCTCCCAATGCCCTACCCCTACTCATTCCAGAGAGTCACTAAAAACTCTAAATCCACCGAAGAGTCAAAGATGTACCTCCATCAGAGACATATTCAACTTCCTTGTACAGTTTCTTTCAGTTCACTTCTTTTGCATTTCTGTCATCTCTACACATAATTTGTTTTTCACTCACTTGTATGGTTGAGCTAATACCCCTTTGGGGGGAGACTCTGCTACCATTTTCAGTTCTTCTTACGGCAGTTTCTGCTAAGAGTAGAGTCTAACAAGTTTAGTTTTGTCCTTCAGCAGCACAGCAGCTTCCTTCTTCTGCATTCATTCCTCTTCTTTAATTTCTTTCAGCATCAGTTTGCTTGCTTTTGTCTGTGTACCTTTAAGTGACGGGAAATCCCTTTGGCCCAGAGTTCTGCCTGCCATTAACTAAAATGTTTTATACTCATTATGCCATGAATTCATGGAGAATAGATTACAGCAGCTCCAGTCTTTCACCACTGATTCTCAAAGTAGGCTTTTCAGGGTAGAAGCTGTCTGGCATATCAGTTGAGCCTGGGTATCTTTCTCTTTAGCCTCCTCTTTCTACACTTTCGTTTACATGATTTGGGAAGAGATCTTGGCTCCTAGAATACTTGATATTCTTTTAAAAGGCACATTAATTTTCCAGGTGAGAATCTTGTCCTTATTCTGTTTGCTTATCTTACAACAGTACCCACAACCTAAAACTGGATGGGTCTATGGTGTCATTCCCTTTGAACAATGACAGACACTGTAGATTCTGCATCTTAGCACGGTTTTACTTATGTGGTACAAAACACAACCAACACCCTTGATGCCTACAATGTCACCTGCTTTAAAGCATTCACATGAAGGTAGTCAAAGGAATACCTCCATTTTATTTTTAAGAAAGAAAAGGTCTTTAATAATACACACAATAATAATCCTTGTTCTCTTTCCCTCTGTGTTTGTTATTTTAGCAAATTACCAGAAGATCATGGTCAAAAGGTTAAAGTAGATTTTAAACAGAAATAGGTGCTATGTCTCTCAATGCTAGGATTACTACTGTCAGTGTGACCAACAATAAATTACTTTTTAGCTCCTTAAGCATAATAAGAATTGACCCCTGCTATGAACTGAACGTTTGTGTTGCCCCCAAATTCATATGTTGAAGCCCTAATCCCCAGTGTGATATTTGGAGGTGAGGCCTTTGGGAGGTAATTAAGTCAGAAGGGTAGAGCCCTCATGAGTGCCATTAGTTTAGTGCCCTTATAAGAGCCACGAGAGAGATGATTTCTCTCTCTGCCACCTGAGGATATAGCAAGAAGGTATCCTGCAAATCAGGAAGAAAGTTTTCAGCAGGAACTGAGTCAGCTGGTGGACTGATTTTGGACTTCTCAGCCTTCAGAACTGTGAGGAATAAATTCTGTTGTTTAAGCCACCCAGTCCATGGTATTTTTGTTATAGCAGCCTGAACCAACTGAGACAATCCCCCTAGCCAAAAATTAATAGCAATGCCCACCTTCATCCTCACTGCTATCAGACTCAGGAAGTTTGATTCTTCTCCTCTTTTTCTTCATGTTTTCAGTTTCTTTTGTCTCATCATCAGATAACTCCACTCGCTTCCCCCTGTTGCCATCCAGGAATAATTTAAGCACGTTACACAAAATAAAAATATAAGTATTCATATGCTACTATGGGTCTTGCTTCGTAACTCACAGTCTTAATTCCAGAGTATAGAAGAGTTAAAGTAGACCAATAAGGCTTCTTTCTAAGTATACTCTGCTAACTGACCACAACTAGGTCACTTCATGGGGTAACCAGAATAAAAAATTTCTCTAGCTCTCTAAAGACCACTGTAAGCTATTACCAGGTTATCAAGAATTTTTCTAAATTCCTCTTATATCCCTTATCTTACAATCATTCAGCAAACGTTAAATAAGAAGCTACTACCTACATACAAGGCTTTTTGCTAAACACTCAGATGCACAGATCAAGAAAATACTGTTTTCAAGAAGGTCTGGCAGGAAAAACAGATGTAAATACCACTAGGTATAATACAAAATGATAAATTTTACTGGACAAATAAATAAAATGTCATGGGACATGAGTCTTACTTGAAAACTTTAAAAGCTAAATAGGAGTTCACCAGAGAGAAAAGGGAGACACACATTTGAAAGAGAAAGAACAATAAGAGCAAAGGCACAGACTATGAGAGCTTCAGGTGATTCCAACGACATAATATAAAACCTCGCCTCCATCTTGACATTATTTAGCTCCTCTGTTTGGATAGTCCATCACACTACTCATCTGATCAACAAATAATTTATCAAGGGCCTACTGCGTGCTAAAGACACAAATATGTACGAGATGTAGTTTTTGCTTTCAAGTACTTTATTTCTATGTAACTAAATATCAACTTATTTTTTCTACCTTAAGCTAGAAAAAGAACAAATTAAAGCCAGAATAAATAGAAGGAAATAATAAAAATAGGAGCAGAAATCAATGAAATAGACAATTAACACAGCTAAAAGTTGTTATTTTTTGGGAATAATAAAATTAATAAGACTTTTATAAAACTCATTAAAAAAGAGAACAATATATATTACCAATATTAGAAATGAAAGAATGAAATGTTATCACTACATTTTATCAAAGAATAAGGCTATATTATGATCTTTATGCCAATAAACTCAACAACTTAGATGAAATAAATTCCTTTAAAAACACAAAGAAAACTGACCACCTCCCCCATAAGAAAATTTGAATAGCTCTATTTATAGAAACCAAATTCATAATAAAAAGTTTCCCACAAAGAAAACTACAGGCCCAGATTCACTGGTGAATTTTATCAAACTTTTAAGAAAGAAATAATATATATCTTATACAAACTCTTTAGGAAAACAGAAGAGGAAACTCCTTCCAACTAAGTTTATAAAATTAGCATCACTTTGATACTGAAATCTGAAAAAGACGTTACCAGACAGAAAATAACTGATCTGTTGCCCCCATAAGCATAAAGGCAAAAAATCCCTAACATAGTATCAACAAATTGAATCTAGCAATATATAAAAAGGATAATACATCATGACCAAGTGAGGTTTATCCCAAGAATGCAAGTTGGGTTTAACATTTGAAAACCAATCAGTGTAATTCACCACAGTAACAGAAACATCATATCATCTCAATAAACGCAGAAAAAGCACCTGTCAGAATTCAACACCCATTCATAAAACCTCTCAGCAAACTAGGAATAGAAAAGCACTTCCTCCATCTGGTAAAGGGCATCTATTAAAAACATACAGTCCACATCTTCCCTAGTGGTGAAATACTGAATGCATTCTTGGCAGTAACCATCAACAATGAGTGTTGCACCATGGTTGGGGACATTTTAATCCATCTATATCACATGTTCCTCAGAGGTGAGGCTCACTAAACACAGCCTTGACCTTCTGAAACTTCAGCAATTTGTTGATGTTTTCTACTGGAGTAGCCCCAACCTTGCCACAAAAGTCAAGTATTTCTGGGCCTATCAGTGCTGACAGTGTCCTTTAGAATTTCTTTCAACAGACTAATTCCTACCAGCTATGAGGTAGTGTCTCGAATTCCTGGATCCATTTTTAATAGCTTGTGTGCTTTTTATTTTCTTTTCTAATTACATTTTACCACTTGAAAAATAAACTCATTGATATAAAAAGAAAACAAAGAACTTTTTCTCTTAAATTTCACTGGAAACAGTAATCTTCATTTGGCAATTTGAAGTGAAACACAGACACACAATCAGGAACACTGATGCCATGTCCACAAATTTAAAACAAAGTAAAGGAGAAAAGACAATCAATTTGGATCAATGGGGCCCAAAAAACTGGCTGTGGGCTCTAAATCATATCACTTGACTGACTGCACAGTTTCACGTCACCAGATAAGCTGTGGAGCTCCTCTCTTCATACACCCTAAGGCAGTAAGCAGGATTTAGTGCCGAACTGAAAACTGCCTGCTGTCAATGAACCCAAACAGACGTTTTCACCCCCAGCAGAGACACTCTTCCCCCATGAGCGACAAAATTTTCCTACCTTTTTTTTTCCTTCTGTTGCATCTTAACAGGCTCTGCTTTCTTGGTGGATTTCTTGAGGCCTGCAGGGGCTGCCAGCTTTGGTTCAGTGACAGACACTGGAGGTTGCTCCACTATTTTTTCTTCTTTCACTGCTTGCTCTGAATCCAAATTGACTTTAAGTTTATCTACAAATAAAGTATAGCAGGCAATATATAACCCTATTGTGCAATATTAATCCATCATTCCTTTGACAGTCTACTAAGCGTGAGGCACTATGTCAGGAGCAGGGGATAAAGGGATAAAAAACTGGGAAAGAGGTGGCTTATTGCAACATTTTCAGGCAACTGTTATGGAAAATTTAATCATGTTTTCTTATTACCTGAATGATCAAGTCACTTGTATGTATCATCTGACTAAAAGCAACTCCTTTTTATACTCAAAAAAATATGAAATACCTTTTCAAGCAAAGAAAGACAACAAATGACGACTTTTTAATTTTGTCATCAATGTTCTAATTTTTTTTACATACAAAACATTAAGGTTTTTGTTATTGAGATATAATTCATATACCATAAAATTCACCCTTTTAAAGTGTACAATTCAGTGGTTTTTTAAATTGTGCAACCATCACCACTATCCAATTTTAGAACATTTTCATCACCTCAAAAAGAAACCCTGTATCCATTAGCAGTCACTCCTCACCCCCAACCCAGCCCTTTATAACCACTAATCTACTTTCTGTCTTTATAGATTTGCCTATTCTGGATATTTTGTATAAATGGAATCATACAATATGTAGCCTTTTGTGTCTGGCTTCCTTCATTTTGCATGTTTCAAGGTTCATCCATGTTGTAGCATGTCTCAGTACTTCATTCCTCTTTATAGCTGAATAATATTCCACTGTATGGATATATCACATTTTGTTTATCCATTCATCAGATGATGGACCTGTGGGTTGTTTCCACTTTTTGGCCATTACAAATAAGGTTGCTATGAACATCTGTGTACAAGTTTTTGTGTGGACATACAGTTTTAATTCACTTGAGTAGATATCTAGGAAGTGGAAGTGGGTAACTACGTCTAACTTTTTAGAAGTACTGCCACACTGTTTTTCAAAGCGAGCACATCATTTCACATTCCCCACAGCAACGTATGAGGACTCGATTTCTCCACACCTTTGCCAACAGTTGTTATTGTCCAGCATTAAGTTTTAAATGGTTCAAGTCCCCACAATCAACTATTCATCCACCTCAAGCTTCATTTTCATTGCAACGATCTTGTCATGTGTCAAATATAATAAAAACATTCATAATTTTATTCTAAACATTCAGCCTTGAAAAAAACATCTGTTAAATAAATGAGTTTCATAAGCCATTCTTTTTATTAGGTGAATATTTAATTCTTTTATTTTATGCAGGGTTTCTCCCTCCCTCTATTACATTCCATCATAACATCCTGTTATTCTCTGCCTAGCAATTACAATCATTAACTATTTTATTTTCTCTGTATTTGTCTGTCTCTTCCTCTAGAATATAAGGGCCATGAAGGCAGGGACCTTTTTGTCTACCTTTTCTCCATTGTATCACTATGCAGCACATAGTAGGTGCTCAATAAATATTTGCTAAATAAACACATGAATAAATAAGTGTATCTTTCTATAGTTTGACTGTATTTTACAATTAGCAAATATTCATGTCTTATGCATTTTAGAAATAATAATTTTAAAATTCACTCATGTTTAAGGTTATGAACACACAAAAAACAAACATGTGGGCCTCACCAAAATTGCTGAAAGAAACCACACAATTTGATTGGGTATAGCAGACTAGTACCAGCCATGTAGGCCATGACATCAGCATGATCTATTTTCACAGAAGTAGGGAGCCCTTGTGCACTGTGCCTGCAATAATACAATTGTGTTTCCCAATAACCGGAAAGTTAGCAAATTTTCCATATACTTTCAGAAACATAAAAATGTTCTCTGATAGCTTTTATGACAAAGAAACTGTTGCCCAAATCCCTCCCCCAACCACCAATCTGACCATCATAAAAAAACAGAATTCTGACTAATTTTGCTTACATAGGCATATAACAAAATGTTTCCCCACAAAATTTTTGTAAAACTGATGCTCCAAGAAAGTGTGCCATAATTATCCTGCGGCTCCTGCATTCTTCCTGGTATTCTGCCACATACCCTCAGGGGATGTGTACTTGATATGAGAAGTATGAAAATATGTGACTAATGGTTCCTTGTATACGAAAGAATTCTTATCTAAATAAAGGAGATTTGCTTTCCCAAGAAGTAAATATTTTTAAACAGCCATTACTACCTGGACCCTTCTAATTCATACTGAGGGCTATCTAGTTCATTCCTATGAGTAATCTGCAAAAATAACTACAGAAAGGCAAAGGATTTCTTTTGGAGCCCCTTGGGAGACAGGTAACGGTGGTCAAATCAGGCAAACTGACCCCAGCATCCAAGATATTAACCTCAACACTACACTGCCTAACCAGGCAGCCTCTCTTTGATTTCAATCACCCCTTTTCAAGAGCCCTATGAAACAAGTATTTAGTTCTCTTTTCAAGGCAGGAGGTAAAAATAGGAATAGTAAACTATCCTCCAAGAGATCTAAACTGAACCCAGCTCTCCCTTAAAACCCGAGTGTTCCAGTTGGGTTACTTTTATCAATATATTGGTCAGTAGACTGCAAATTTATGTTAGGATGCAGGAGTGCTACATGGTAGTGTACAGATGGGTAAAAACTGGACAAGGTAGCTTTCACCTCAGATAAAATAAGTTATTAATGTTAACAGTCATGTATTAGTCAAAAGAAGGTAAAAAAATGCTTACTCATAGCAGCTTTTCCAAAAAAATTGCTCATTGCATTCCCTTTCCCTGGTGCCTTGTTGCCTGCCGAAGATGCCTAAAAGCACAAACAAGAAAATGCACGTGATTTTTTTCTAATGTTCAGGCTGCTCTTCAAACAGCAGTCAAAAAATCTCTTCAATAGCAGAGCACACCGTTGTGATGGTACCATCTCTACATAATCATGCTGAAATGTGTAAGCATTAGATATAAGAACAAATCCAGACCACACAGATCTGGCGTTAATCTCCAAAGCTTAGTTTCTCATAGTTTTTATAAAATTATTATTCATTAATGTGTCTAAACTTTTCTTGAGTATATTTAAAAACTACTTAACTTGACAGAATTAAAACAGATCAGAGGCAGTATGGTACACAATGGGGAAAAACCTCCAAAACATTACATTTGTAATCATCAAAAGTGGATTTGAATGCTGGTTCCAGCACTTAATAGTAATATGACATAAAGGCGAATTACTTAAGTCTAGGCCTCAGTTTCACCAGATACAAAATGGAGATGATAGTATCTCCCTCACGGAATTGATAAGAGGATTTAAACAGAGATCAAACAATTGGTGGGGCCGGCCCCATGGCCACAGCGGTTAAGTTCATGCGCTCTGCTTCAGCGGCCTAGGGTTTCGCTGGTTTGGATCCTGGGCGTGGACATGGCACCACTCATCAGGCCATGCTGAGGCAGCATCCCACATAGCACAACCAGAAGGACCTACAGTTAGAATATACAACTATGTACTGGGTGCTTTGGGGAGAAGAAGAAGAATAAAAAAGATTGGCAATAGATGTTAGCTCAGGTACCAATCTTTAAAAAAAAAAAAAACTAGTGGCACACAGTAGGAGTTCTAGCAATGTTACTGTTTTCCCTCCACCTCTCCTCTCCTTTCCCAAAGTGGAGCTTTAAAATGACAACGATGGTAATATTTGTAATAACAATAATTATGCTTTTCTGGATTATTTTTTAATAGTATCTTAATGAGACTTTTGTTTCTTTTTTTTGGTGAGGAAGATTGGCCCTGAGCTAACATCTATTGCCAATCTTCCTCTTTTTTTTCCCCTCTCCCCAAAGCCCCAGTACATAAGTTGTATATCCTAGTTGTAAGTCCTTCTAGTTCTTCCATGTGGGATGCCGCCACAGCATGGTTTGATGAGCAGTGTGTAGGTCCATGCCCAGGATCCAAACCAGTGAACCCCAGGCCACCGAAGCACAGCACTATGCCACCAGGCTGGCCCCCTTAATGAGACTTTTCTTAAGTCAATGCACTTAAGTTAGGTCAGATGACTGAACAACAAAAAAAAACTAAGGGAAGAGAATGAAGAAAAAAACCAAGAAAATTCATAAAATAGAACAAGAATGTTAAATATACTAGGAAGGAATGCATGCATGGCAAAGTCCAGAATATAACATGTTCCCAAAATGACATATTTCTAATATACAATTCTTTGTACTTTACAATTTTCAAGGTGTTTTCACATGCATTATTTCAACTGGCTCTCACAACAATCTCATTATGCACACAAGGCAGGCATTACCATTTTACAGGAGAATCTGAGGCTTGGTGAGAAGCATTATCAAAAGAAAAAGGACTATTTCAGGTGAGAATATCAAGAATTAAAGGATTCAAACTAAAGTAGAAAAATTAAAACTAAATAGCCAAACCTCATACATAATTAAACTACTACCACTGTGTCTACTAATGCTTTTCTAGTTACTCACTCTAAGCTGTGAAGGCATATCTTTGAAGACTTACATTTGTAACCTCTTTAGCCTCTGTTTTGGTTTCCTTGTTGGCATCTTGGATTTTTGAAGCAGCTTTAGAGGCAAACATTCCCATAATCCCTTTGGGCTGCTGGGAAGTCTGTTTGGAGGTAGGTGGGCCATGACCATTGGCGGTCAATTCGTTACTGGCTTGTGTCTCACTTGACATCTGAAGATTTGTCTGCTCGAACTTTTCAGAAGATGAGGATTCAGCAGGAGTTCTAGGGACTGCAGCTGCACACTGTATGGCACTAAACCTGGGGACAGAAATGTTACATTAATGTCAATATCAAACTTTATTTTCAAACTCTTGCTTCTTTCACACAATACCTTCTAACGCTAATACTATAAAATTAGAAAACTTTAGAACAAGAATGGATTTTAGAATTTATTTTGGGCAAAACTCTCATTTAGATAAAGAAACAAGTACTGGAGAGAAGTGAATGATTTCCTATGTTATACATCTAGTTAGTAATAGAACTAGAATTGGTCTCAGTTGTCTTCAACTATACCATATTGAGTATTTTTGCTTTTTTGAAAAAAGCATCCTAATGCAAAAGTAGGAGTATACCAAACAATAACAAAAGATTAGTAATTTCACCATCCTTAGGAAACCAAATGGTTATCTCTAGTTTTCAAAGACTTTCACCTTATAGGGCTAGATATTCAATAAATACTAACTGAATCAAAATTAAGAGCTTTAAGTATTAACAAATTTCCTGGCAACTGTCCCTTTCATGCCTTAAAACATGGAAGAAGCTGGGAAAGAGCCACTGGCTCTTACAATTTGTGGTCCTTTACATTTGTTAATAATTTCTAATAATTCTAACTAACGGCACCAGATAAGTATGCCAAAAGCCAAGTGAAGAAATTTGGAACAGTTTGCACGGCATATTAAAGGGAATTCTCATCTCTTCTTCTCTAATCCCTGTAGATCTGACGGTTTCACACAAAACCATAACATAATGTCCCACACTGTGAATGAGTAACTGATCCAGCCTTCTCAAATGGCTGCACTTAAAGCAAAGTTCCCTAACTTTTTCTAACAAAGAAGATTTTACTCCCCCCAAGTCTTTTGCTTATTGGGGTGTGTGAGAGTTCCTCATTTTTTGTATTTCAGGTACTCAGCACAAGACCTGGCACGTGGAAATATATGTTGAAAGAAAAGATTAAGTTACTGAAAGTGAGTCTTCTGGCTTCTCTCCCTTTTTCACTGTATCACCTCAACTTGGGATGAGAGAAGACAGCAGTTAAGAAACTACGTGGTGATAGCAATTATAGATCAACAGGGCAAAGCTTCAAGATTAACTGCTAGAATAACTGGCCTAAGAAAAAAATTCCTGATAAATCCTTTAATTTCAGAAGTAACTTTAGACTAAGTAGCCCCAAAGCTAGAGTCTACAGCTCCAAAAATCTTCCACTGATTTATTATGGTCCACATCAGAAAACCCTACATTAACACAAATATTTTGTGCATCAGAGTTAAGAACAGACGGAAACCATTTCCTTTCACCCACCACTCTTCCTCTCTGGCTTTGCAGTGCCTCCATGTACAAGGAAAAGAGCAATGTTTTATTTCACTGTCAGCATCTAAAGTTGGCCCCAAGACAAGTCTTTCTCGATCTGGTCTACATTCCACACCTTAGGGTCAGGACCAGGAACTGGCAATGAGGAAGAGACCAAGTCAGGCTGGGAACATGTCCGAAGAGAGAAGAATCTGCTCAGTCCTAAAGTTTCAGCTCTCTTCCTGTCACAGCACTTCTTAAAACACACGAAACAATGAGTCACATCTCAGCTGGCCTACAATTCTCAGGACCAAATACCAACTTCTTTCTTGGAGATAAATTCTTCACATTTCTACCGAGGATACTTTAAGTATTTAAGTCAAGTTTCATTAAAGTGCTTCCTGTTAGCACATTTCTACTTGCCATGTTTATTTTAGAGATCCCTGTGCAAACTTCATTTTGAATTTTTGAGTCACTTTTATTCGTTTGCTTACTTGCTAGATACAACAGAAGAACTGATTTTTAGAGCTTGACATGCCACAACTAGATTTTAATACAAATTGTTTTTGAAATCTAATAATATAATTACATAAACATATCAGGGTGTTAATGTTTTCTTGTAATCCTTCCCTAAAAGACATCAGACTTATAAATTACTACTCTCTGGCTATATTTATTTATTTATTAAATATCTGTATGCCTATTACACTCAAGGTTTTGTGCTAAAGAAAAAAATACCTAATGTCTATCATTAATTCATTCAATAATTATTTACTGAATGCTTACCATTTGCCAGGTCTCACTTTGGGTATACAGCGGTTAACAAAATAGACACAATCCCTGTTCTAATGGAACTTACAGGAACTTGTTTGGCAATTCTATACCTATTTCTCCTGATAGACCTGGCTTTATTAGTTATCCCATCTCACCCAGTATCTTCAACCATTTCCTCTTTTATGCCTCTTCCCTAACAATACAAGTTCAAGGCATTCTCAACTTTAAAAATGTATATATACTCCCTTAGTCTTAATTCTTCTTTAGCTGCCTCTTTTTCCTCCATCTTACAGTTAAATTTCCTGCAAAGAATTGCCCATATTTGCTGTCTCACTTCCTCATGTCCCCATCTACTCAGTTGACCAGAATCTGGTTACTCCACTGAAAATGCTCTTACCAAGGCTGTCACTAAATCCAACAGACACTTTTCAGTTCCTATTTTATTTAGCTTCTCAGTAAGGTTTGATATTCTCAACCAGTCCCTCCTTTTTGGAACTCTTTCCTTACCTTTTAGAATCCCATATACTCTCATGATTTTCCTCTTATCTCTGGCTGCTCCCTGTTAGGCCCCTCTTTTTCTGCTCCTCCCTTAAAAAATGGCTATCACTTAAACAGTGTTTACTATGTGCCAAGCACTGTCCTAAGTGCTTTACACATATTAATTCACTTAATTCTCTACAACCCTGTGAGGTTGGTACTATTGTTAGCTTCATTTTACTGATGAGGAAACTGAAGCACAGAGAGGTTAAGTCATTTGCCCAAGGTTACACAGGTAGTAATTGTGGCCTGGAGTTTACTTTTTGCCCTTCTTTCATTTTATACATTCTCTCTGCCTGACTGTATCAAATGCTGTGGTCCAATTAAATTACCTGTTTTTTCTGACTCCAAAGTCTCTCTTCTCATTCCAGATTTCTCTCCTTAGCTCAAGACTCACCTCTCTATTGCAAAGGACAGCTCCAGTTGAACTCCCCACAGACTTCTCAAACTCAACACGTCCAAACACAATTCATCATTTTTCCCTCTCTTCCAAAGCCTGCTCCAGCTCATATATTCCCTTTCTTAGAGATAGCACCAGCACTCATCGAGTTGCCCAAGTCAGAAACATGGCCATCATCCTCAACACCATGAACACACCTACACACACACCAGCAGCAGAGCCATGACTCAAGCCCATAACATCAATTTCCAAAATGCACATGCATTATAGTCCATCACCTCCCTGTGCTGTGAACAACACAAAAAATGAGCAAGGTCTGCTCCCAGCTGTGGAAGCTCAATTGCTTTTGGACACAAGGTAGAGGGATATCAAATTAGGACAGTTTTTTGGAGGACAACATTTAAACTGGTTCTTGAAGGATGGGTATGATTTAGACAAGCAGAGACTGGGGTAAGGGAGTAACAAGGGGCACAACAAACATTTCTGGTGGCAGTGACAGGATAAATACATGAGAAATAGATTTATGGGGAGTCCACTAGGGTTTTCAATATGGGTTGTGGCTGCTATTTTTTACCTTATGATGTACTAATAAAACCAGGCATGTGTCTTACTGCAAGATAAATGGGGTTTTACTAGACTTGGCATTCACTCTTAAGAGGCAGCCACTGTGTAAACATCTTACAAAATCAATTCGTAAAGAAGCCCACAAGGAACATTAAGGAGCTCACTTGCTGCAGTTCTGCAAGTTGCTTTTAAGGATGTCATAGTCGGTATTGAACAGAGGCCCACTGTCCTTTAGCATGGCTTTCTGGATGCTGTACACATGGATGCTGGCAGTCACAGCTAGCTTGGACTTCACTGCTACAAGTCAACAGGAAAAGCAGTCTGTTAATACACAAACTTCATAGCGTGCGGGGACTTTAACAAGAAACCCTTCTGCATTAAAGCCATTTGCAATCTGTGGTGGTCCAAAAAGTTCTAAAAGGCCAAATAGCTACATATACAGCCTAACATCAACTCTTCTGTCCATGACGGGGACATTATGACAAGGTAGGTGGTGGTGAGTCAGTTCTAAGTACAGCACCTGTGAGGGTATCACTCATCTAGTGGACACTCAGTAAATATTAATGAATGATTGATGATGACCATGATGTTCTTTTTTTCAGTTAGGAAAGAATCTTACACTCTAGCATATAATTAAGGAATAAGTAATTTCTATCTAAGAAGACTCACTTATGAAATTCAATTTTAGTTTACAAAAAGCAACTCTGTAACAAAAATACTACTAACCAGGTAAGTCTGCAGAGGAAAAACACAAAAGAACATCACAAGAACAAATTTTAGGTTCCATGAAGGAAGGGACTGTGTCTAACTTGTTCCAAGCCTCTAGTGCCTGGCTCAGATTAGATGCTCACTACATATCTATTGAATGAATAAATCTTGCTTTGTCTACCACAATGGAAATTCAAAAAGAAAACAATGGACTTCTCCACCACCCTGAATACCTCAAAGTTAATTTGTAAGAAACGACTCCCCTGGCAGGAGTCTTTATATACAAAGTATGACAGTACAGGTTTTTTTGTGGTTTTTTTTTGAGGAAGATCAGTCCTGAGCAAACTGCTGCCAATCCTCTTTTTGCTGAGGAAGCCTGGCCCTGAGCTAACATCCGTGCCCATCTTCCTCCACTTTATACATGGGACGCCTACTACAGCATGGCTTTTGCCAAGCGGTGCCATGTCCACACCCGGGATCCGAACCAGCGAACCCCGGGCTGCTGAGACGCGGAACGTGCGCACTTAAGCCCTGCGCCACCGGGCCGGCCCCCAGTACAGGTTTTTGTCTTGAGACATAGGTCCAAGATCACATGGACTCCCCACTGTTAGAAAATTTCTTTGAATTGGTTTTTAAAAAATGGAATAGTAGGGGCCAGCCCTGTGGCCAAGTGGTTAAACTTCTGTGCACCCTGCTTTGGCAGCCCCAAGTTTGGGGGTTCAGATCCTGGGTATGGACCTACTCTACTCCTTGGTGGTTCTGTGGAGGGATTCCACATACAAAGTAGAGGAAGACTGGCAAAGACATTAGCTCAGGGCTAGTCTTCCTCAAGCAAAAAAAAAAAAATAAGAGGATAGGCAACGGATGTTAGTTCAGGTGAATCTTCCTCACACACACACAAAAAAAAACCCAGAATAGTAGCATTAATAGTCTTGAAACAGGTGGACAAATTTAATTTACAAGTTATATTAAGTCTTTCTGACTTTAGAAAAGCATTCTTTAATCTTCTTCCTAAAAATATTGTTATGGAACACAACACAATATTTAGAGACTACTGTCTTTTTACAGCTGATGAGGTGTTCCATATGGTATTCATGAGAGGTTTTGTATGTCTGTCACAAGCTTCGAAATCCTGTGATAAAAGTGCTTTATTTATGTCAGCAGCTATTGGCCTTAAAAATGGGAAGTTAGGCAGATGTAGTATCATATTTTAACATGTTTGAGAAACTACTAATAAAAGGAATAAACGGCTCTTCAGTTAAACAGCTACATATATTACATGAGATGTCAGGGGCAGATTTTTTATTGTGCTTACATTAATGCCATAAGAGGAAAACTTGCTAAATCACTGAAACACTTACCTTCCAATTTATCTTCTCTCACTACTGCAACCTTGTGGCACTGTAAGGAAATAACACTTCATTAATGTTGAACGTAGTACAACTTGCAATTTTAAAGTTTCCTTAACAATAATTCAATTGCCCTTAGTTGTGAAATTAGGAAGATTAGGTAACCCTGAAAATAATACGTTATATTTTAATAAAGTCAGACTCATTTTTAACTTGCTTACTTTAAAGGTTCTCAATCGGGGTAAGGAAAATGATAGAGCATAGATACCAATACAAAAAAACCCCTCAAATCAGTGTGAGGAAAAGAGGATTTTTTAGTAAGTGATGTGATGAGAATTACTGTACAATCATACGGAATCAGATAAAAATTGGATCTCCCATGCCATACAACAGAATAAATTTGAAATGGATCGGAGATCTAAACATAAAGAATGAAATCATACATGCACTGCAAGAAAATATGATTGAATCCTTCTATAAATGATATAAACTGAGAATGAGGAAAAGTTTCCTAACTATAATTCAAAATCCAGAAATAAATGAAATAATTCATAAAAACTAACAAAGAACTTTTAGTTGACAAAAAACCTTTAACCAAAGTACAAAGACAAGTGATAAAGTAGGAAAAATATCTGCAACTTATATCACAAAGGGTTAATATATAGTTTCTAAAACAGAGAAAACAAAGACTAAAAATCCTTTAGAAAAATGGCCAAGATATATGAACAGATGGTTCACAGAAAAAGAAATGCAAATGACCCTGAAACATACGGCAACACGTGCTATGTGGAGACAGGTACTCTCATACATTGTTGGTGGGAATGAAAAATGGAAAGGTATTTGGCAGTACCCAACAAAGTACATATGCATCCTACTTCTAGGAATGTAACTCTAAAATACACTGGCAAAAATACACAAAACACATATCCATTAAGTTATTCACTACAGCACTATTTGTAATAGCCAAAAATTGTAAATAACTCAAATGACTATGAATAAGGAACAGGTGAATAAACTAAGGTATATCTATCCATGTAGTATCATGTGGCTGTCACAAGGAATGAGGAATATTTCTATATCTGCTATGGAGTGATGCTATGCTAAAGATCTACTGTTATGTAAAAACAAAGCAAAGTGCAAAACAGGATGTAAAATATAAAAACTTTTACCTAAGAAAGGGCAGTAATATGAATATATATTTGCTTATATTAAAAATATATATAACAACAAAAACAATGAAAGAATGCAAAAGCAATAAAAATAGTTACCTCTAAGGGAAAGAAGGGAACCTAAAAACTGAAAGTGGGGGAAAAAATTTAAATTTAACTAGATACTGAGTTGGTGGCTTAACCACAGAGAGGAATTATTTCAAGTGATTCTAAAACACAGGCTAATTGTGCATCCCTAATAGGATATATCCTATAGACAAAAAGATCTGCACAGAAATTTCAAACTGTTTTCAGTAATCATATTGTTAGAAAAAATATTGGGGTTTTCATAATGCGCTTTCTCTTAAAAAAAAAAAGGCATTCCTAAAAACGTCATCTGTACATTTTTGTACAATGCAAATCTGTACAATAAAAATTACAGAGCTTATGAGAAAGACAACATTAGGAGCTAACCACTCAAATCTATGTAACTTTGTAACAAGAGCCCTAAAAACAATAATTGGTACCATCAGGAAAACATCTGGGCAGCCCAGACAGTTCTGTGTGGTTAAATGCTGCCTCAGGGGAGACTGAAAATGCACAAAAACGACACAGTGGAAATGCCAGTTTGCTGGTGCTAAAACACCACAGACCAGAGTAGAGCTCTGACTCAGTGGGTTCCTGTTAAGGTGGACACAGGAGTAAGTTCAGCATCCACAAACCCAGAGCCTGGCTGGGGATAAGCCCCCTGAGTTTTTTAGCAGTTAAAGAGAAAGGGGAAATATGATTAGTTGATGAGAGAAAGTTCTTCTTTATTGAAAAATTCCAGCCAATAAATCCAGAAGGAATGACAGAATTAGAACACCACCATTTTGTAGCACCTAGTGAATTAATGATCTAGGCAATGATAAAAATCAATCTCAACTAAAATCACTAGATGAAAAGTTAATGAGAAATTTCATAAAGAATGGATCAGGCCGACAACCTCTAACATCACAAAAAGAGAATCAACCAAACATTCCTTTGAAATTTTCAACTACTTCTCTGAAGACTCTCAGGATGAGATTAGGCGGCTTTCACTTTCTATGCACTGCTGTTAAACATTTTTACAATAACAATGATCATCGGAAAAATAAAAATTACTTATAATTTAAAAAATCCATACAAGATCTATAATGTCTTTTTTCTTTCTAGAAACACTTAAAATCTAAAAAAGAAATTAGAAGGAACAAGAACCAAACCTGACATTACGCTTAATCATCTGCCTTTCCTTAGAAGGGCTCTCTTTGAGACAAAAGGCACGGGTAAGCATCTACACTGGTCAGTAATTCTACAGGCTTCCACAGAGCTGCCCTATGGGGCTGCCAGAAGGGAGAGTACAGAGCTCCAAACTTCTCACAACCACTTCAACCACAGTAACCTTATTCAATAGATTTTATATATTAGGATTCTGATTAAGATGTCATTTGAAAAAGCATTCTGCTGTTTTAAAAAAGGTGGGCGGAATTTAAATGCCCTCAAATTTAGAAACAGCCACAGCATAGAAATTTTTAAGTGATTATGGACTACACATCATTTTGAGCAAGCCACAGCATAGAAATTTTTAAGTGATTATGGACTACACATCATTTTGAAAAAGAGTTTCAAAAGAATGCCCTGAGGAACACAATTTGAATGCCTTTCAGGAGTTCATCCAAGAATCCCCTACACCCTGAAGACCAACCCCAAAGACCACGGAAGGATCTGAAATTAAGAACTTATGTCATACGGGTCAGAATAAAAATCTACAACTTTATCTTAAAACATAAATCCTTAACCTTGCACCCTGTTCCAGAAGATGTGTTAACACTCAAAATTTTATGAATATGTCAATATTTTTCCTCCAGATTCTCAAAGGAATCGGTGACCAAAAAAAGAATAAAAAACACTGCTTCAGAGGAACACAATGAATCCCAGGTAAAGAAGTGACTATGATTAGACTGAAGGTATTGGTGAAACTAAAGAAAAAGACTGAAGAGGGCTGGTTAACTGGAAACAACGGAAAGAAGACATTCAGATGCAAACTTCAGCAGTATCCATTCAAGAGCCTGTATGGAGATGATTCTGATGGCAGGTTTATGTCCAAGAGCAAATGAATCCCGGCTGCTTAATTTTGTGTTTCAGATGTATAATGGCATCTGATTCTACCTACACATGCAAATATCTTGATTATTATCTGGCTGGCCAAATAGCTTACCAACAAAGAAAGAATATGTTGGTCAGAAAATATAAGGATCTGATCCCCCTAGCAGTTTTATTTCTCCTTGTAAATTATTAATTTGCCATTCCAGTTGTAAATCTCTCATACTTGGGACTCTACTGCTACAAGACAAATCCAGTGAGTATTCTGATAAATCAGGCTTCTGAACTTCTGAGTCTGAGGGAAAGTCAAAAGGGAAGAGGAAAACTTATATATTAGTGCATCTCTGAGAAGAAGCCCTGATCCCTGGGCTAAGTTCTACAGGGCTGGTTGTGGAGGTAGCGGGAGGTAAAAGGTTTGGGGATGTGAGAACAGAGGAGGTGCGCCTTACTTTTAGGAAGAAGCCAGAGAGGAGGAATTATCAAAGTTCCCAAGGATCAGTCTGGTGCAGCAGAAGGAATGAGTTATCTGTGCAGAGCTTCTGGTGCCCACCAAGGCATGGGAGTAGTAAAATGATCCCTGTGCTCCTGGGAAGGAGATGGAACCAGCTAAGAGAAAGTCAGCAGACCTGAGAAAGCTTTGCAGTTAGGATGATGACAATGCAGCAGTGACGTGTGTTGATGAACGACCAGATACCAGATGGGACCACAACAAAACACTGGAGGATAACGATGTTCCCAGATCACGTCTCTGCACTGCATTAGCTCAGCCCCCTGGCGAAACCCCCATCCTTCAGCCACTTAGACATAAGCCTACCAAAATGAGAGCTCAAATTAAAATCAAGTTCAGTTAAAAAAAATAAAATTGTACTTTCTGAACACATGAGTTTGCGGCTTGACATTTAGACAGGCTGGAAATTAACCACCATTGTCCCCAATCTACCTGCAAGAGGAAGAAGGAATAACAGAAGCAGTCTCCCAATGTTTCACTGCCTAGGAAAATTACATAATAATGATATAGTGTCTGCATCACAGCCAAGATAGTACCCAAACTTCTCAGTGATAGGTTTACTTTAAAAATTCAAAATCATCATCATCTTCAAGTAACTTTTTGGAACTTCCATAATACTAAATTTTGTTGTTTTTTTCCCAATGTTATGTTATATCACGCTGTTTACAGCTCAAACACATTTAAGCTCTTTATAAGGTTCTGAGAACTTACAGAATGTCCATTCTGAATGAGACTGCCGGACACTAAATAGGTGACATGAAGTTGGGCTCCAGAATTTTCCTTTCGCTTCCTTTCAACATAATCATACAGCATCCTGTTCCAAACAAAAGGACATGTCAGTCATTACTAACAGTTTACCTCATCAACTCTTAATTCATGACTTAAAGTTAGATATATTGGGGGCTGGCCCTGTGGCCAAGTGGTTACGTTCTTGCACTCCGTTTCGGCGGCCCAGGGTTTCCTCAGTTCGGATCCTGGGTGAGGACACGGCACCGCTCAACAGGCCACGCTGAGGCGGCATCCCACATGCCACAACTAGAAGGACCCACAACTAAAAATACACAACTATGTACCAGGGGGCTTTGGGGAGAAAAAAAAGAAAAATAAACTCTCTAAAAAAAAAAAAAGTTAGATATATTAAATATAACAGTCCAAATTTTCTACAGTATATTTTTGCTCAGTCTATGGACAGAGTTTAAAAAAAGACAGATTTTAGATGGGACAGGGGAGTTGGGGTCAACTTGTATTGAACTGGCAAAGAGACCAAGCAACTGAAATAAAAGAAATCTAATAATAGGTCAAGAGGGACTGAACCTGCATTAAAACAATGGCAATGACATATAATGGATGGAACAATGAATTAAGAATAAGTTCAGTCACTCTCTACCTACGTGATCCTGGATAAGTTAATTTTTCTAGGCCTCTTAATATCCTGAGATACAAAATGGAAGGCCTGTACTAGATCAGTGATTCTCTTAATCTGGGATTCGTGTGGCCATCTATAACCCTCCAGCCCCAAAACTGTAAGCAAAATGTGTTTTTTGGGGCAGAGACAGTTCAGGGTTTTCAGTAGATTCTCAAAAGGATTATTCCAAAAACATTAAGAACTACTATGTAGATGATCACAAATGTCCAGCTCTGAAATTCCAATTTTACAATTATTCAGATTCAATGCTGTTCCAGAAATGTAGAATGTAACACTTATTCACAATGCCCAGTATTCAGAGCATTCATTAACCTGAGATTCCCAAACACTCAATGTAAAAATAATGCTGCTTTTAGTAACAACTCTAAACATCTTTTTATCCTCAAGATCCAGCAAGTATCAGAAGTTGGCTTCCCTCAATAACTGACAGTTTAACAAAACAACAACAAAAGAGATATACCATTTATGTCTTTTATTTCAAAAAATATTTACTGAGTCTCTATGACATGTCATATTTCTGCCAAGAACAGTTAGAAACTCAAAAATTCACAGAAACTCAGCCTACACTGTTGAGCACTCTCTTTTTGAAGCGTGCCCTCTCTTAGCTTCCATGATCCCATCCCCATTGGGCCTCCTGCGACGACTCTAACTGCCTCTGCTCCCATTCCTGCACAGACTTGACTGCCTCCTCCTTTTCTGTACTGTTCGGATTCTCTCTTCAGCTACCTTTTCACTCTACATTTCAGAGTGGCCAACCGTCTGGTTTGCCTGCATCTGAGGGGTTTCCTGAGACATGGACTTTAAGTGCTAAAACCGACAGTCCTGGACACAGCAAGATGGCTGGTCACCTTACCACATATTCTCCTTGGTCTATTTCATTCATCCTCATGGCTTCATTTATTCCTGACAACATCATCTGCTCAAACCACCCAAGCCAGAAATCTGGGAGTCATTATCCTTCACATCTCCTTATCCAGTGAGTTGCCAAGTCTCATCAGTTTTCCCTCCCAAGTAATTCTTGACTCCTTGCCCTCCAAATCTCTTGACCGGACTGTTTCAATTTCAAGTGTCAATTCCCTCCCTCCCCTCCCCCTTCCCATTCATTATCCACAAGGCTTCCTTGATGAAGTTTTAAAAATGCAAATCAAGTCATTCTGTCAACAAAACTTTGCTGAGTGGCTACTTTCCACTGGGCTTTGGGGATAGAGCAGTAAACAAAGTAGTCAGACTTCCTCCCCTTTTAGAGCTTACATTGTAGAAGAGAGAGACAAAAAATAAACAAACAAGTAAATATATGTTAGATGGTAGTAAATCTACAGGAAAAAAATAAAAGTAAGAAGAATAGAGAGCACCTGAGAAGTTTTGCTATTTTATATAAGGTGATTAGGGAAGGCCTCATGAGCACAGGCCTGCAGGAAGCGACAGAGCCACCAATGTGGGTATCTTGGGGAAAAATATTCTAAGCAGAGAAAACAGCAAATGCAAAGGTTCTGAAACAAGAATGTAAGCAAGATCCAAGGAAAAGAAAAGAGGCAAGCGTGTTGAATAAGGAGGAGTGGTAGGAGAGAGAGAGCCCAGTGCCAGACATATAGGGCTTAGTGGCCTATGTAGAACTTTAGGCAAGGAAATCATTAAAGGTTTAGAGCAGAATAACATGATCGCACCTTTTAGAAAGATTCTTGACTGCTGTGTGGAGAATGTACTGTCGAGGGGCAAGCGACGAAGCAGGGAGACAAGTCAGGAGGCTACTGCAGTAATCCAGGCTGGCTCACATTAGGATGGCAGCAATGGAGGTAGTAATTAGGGGATGAATTCTGGGTATATTACAAAGGAAGAAACAACAGGATTTGCCAGTGGATTGATCGTGGCGTACGAGCGAAAGAGGAGTCAAGGATGACTAGACTAAACAACTTAAAGAATGAAGGTGTCATTCAGGGAGATGGGGAAAAGCAAGAGGAGCAGGTGTTGCGGGGAGAGATTAGGAGTTAGGTTTGGGGGCATGTTAAATCTGAGATGCCTATTAGTCATTAAGTGATGCTAAAAGGTAGCCCGATATTCTTGTCTGAAGTATTACTCCTTCTTCAAGTTTTCAATAGCTCCCCAGCCCCTAAGGATCAACTGCAAGTCCCTAGCAATGACATCTAAGACTCTTCTTGTTCTGGCCCCTGTATCTCTCACCATCCTCCCACGCTCACACAATTTCCAGCCTTATGAAACATTCTGCAGTTCCCCTCGCTCCTTTGTATGCCCTTCCTTCTGCCTGGAATGTTCTTCTGAGATGTCATCCACCTAATTCCTCATCAAGTTAGCAGCTCAGTTATCACCTCCTATGTGAAGCCTTCCCTACCACCATCAGGCCAGGAGGGTACTCCTGGCCTTCTAAGTTATCCCTTATCTGTTATTACAACACTTACCACGCTGCGTTCTATCTACTTAGTTTATATATCTGCCATCCCCACTAGACTATAAGCTCCTTGAGGACAAAAATTTGCCATATTCAGCATTTTTGTTGATTCCTGCATCTCGTTCTCTTTAGTGTTTTCTTCCATGTAGCAACTACATTAGGAAAGATGAGGTAACACAGATTCACAAACATCTTGGTTTATTTATGCTATTTAGGACCATGCTGGCAGAAGAAATGATTGGCAGGTATCATGCCCAAGATGATCTCAAGCTTCCTGGCTAAATGCATTGTCTTTTATCCACAACTCGTCATCTCGCCTATATCATCACAGTGATTGTCCTCTGTGCACTTGTCTCCCCAAATCAATCCAGTTCTCTTTTATAGTAAGAAGAAGGTCCAAACTGCACAAACCCTTTTTGTAAAAAATAATTTCTGCCTATCTGTTGAGTCTCTAAGACGTGTTTATCTAATTTGATTTCACTAAACATTTTATTTTTACCAACAAAACACACAAAATCTTCTTAAATATGAGTGACGACATATGACTTCTTACCAGATGCACTTCCTACACACATAATTACCTATTCTTATTTTAACTCATTATTTTTCCCTCCTAATCAGGTTTACTCATAATTTTCCCCAGGATGAAAACAGAGTATAGTTTACACTGCCTTCCCTAACCTAGTTTAATTCTTTCACAGCATTTTTACAACCTAAAATTACTTGTTTAAGTCAATGTTGGGAAAGACTTGGTCAGATTTGTTGTTTTACGACAAAGCCTAAAATAACGCTAAAAATACAGTAAGAACTGAACAAAAACTTCTTTAATGAATCCAAGCAAATCAGTAACAACCATGCCCAGTCACAGTGATACTTTAAATGCTTCTACTACAGGTAAAAGAAAAAAGGTGACAGAACCCTCTAAGTCTCAATTTTTTCAGGTGTTAAAAGAAGTTGATAACATCCATCACACTGGATTGTTATAAAGACTATGTGAGAGAAATGTTTGTGAAAGTATCTACCATAAGGCTTAGTACTCATTCAACAAATGTTTATTGGCACCTATTATGAATCAGGCACGGAAGACAATTGTGGCATGCCGCATTTCACGAAGAGGGCTGCAACACCTCCCATCCCGAATGCCCTTCTACATCTTCCCACAGAGAGGGGGAAGCCCTCCCCTTCCCTTAAATCTGGGAGGGCTAGTGATTCATCGTAACCAAAAGAATGAAGCAGGCTTGACTTCTGAGGCTAGTCAGAAAAAGCAATCAGCTTCTGCCTTATGCTGGAGCACTGCTTTTGGAGTCCTGAGCTGCTGTGTAAGAAATCCGACTAACTGGAGAAGCTATGTTCTTAGGAAGCCCAGACCACATAAACAGACCATATGCAATAACTGGTCAACAACCCCAGCTGAAATCCCAGCTGGTGGCCAGCATCAACTGCCAGACATGTGCATAAAGATGCCTACAGAAGATTGGGCTCCAGCCATTGAGGCTTTCCAGCTGAGGCACCAGACATTATGGAGATAAACCATTCTCACTGTGCCTTGCCTAAATTCCAAACCAAAAGAATCCATGAGCATAATAAAATGGTTGTTTCAAGCTGTTAAATTTGGGGGTAATTTGTTACATAGCGATAGCTACTGGAAGAGTGATGAACTTGATAAACATGTTCCCTGCCCTCATGGAGCTTATATTCTACTGGGTGGGACACACAATAAGCAAGAAAATGTCAGGTAGTAGTAAGAATTATAAATGTTGGAACAACTGGATATCTACATGCAAAAGAATGAAGTTGTACTCTTTCCTTACACCAGATACAAAACGATTCCTGGAGGAAAAAGTGACTATTTACACATCTTAGTGCTTCATTTAAAATTGGCTTGAGCCAAGACCTGATTTGAAAACTACAGTGTACTCTTTATCATGAGGACTGAAGCATTTTTATTACGTTTGCAAGCATACGATACATAGAAACTTCAAATATAGTAATAATTACTGATGTAAGAGCTACAACCACAAAACTATTAGAAGAAACACAGAATTAAATCTTCATGACCTTGAGTTAGGCAAAGCCTTCATAGATACCATATAGGAAGCACAAGCAACAAAAGAAAAAAGAAAAGAAATTGGACTTCATCAACAATAAGAACTTTTGTGCTTCAAAGGGTGAAGTGAAAGATAAAGTGCAAAGACAACCTAGAGAATGCAAGAAAATTTTTGCAATTATATATCTGATCAGGTCTTGTACCCAAAAGTACAAGAACTTTTAACATCTCAACAATAAAAAGACAATGCAATGAAAAAATGAGCAAAGGAAGTGAACAGAATCTTCTCCAAAGAAGATATACAAATGGCTAATAAGCACATGAAAAGATAATCAACATAATTAGTCATTACAGAAATGCAACTCAAAACCATAATGATATCATTCACACCCAATAGAATGGTTAAAATAAAAGACAGATAATAAAGAGATGACAAAAATGTAGAGAAATTAGAAACCTCATACCTTGTTGGTGGGATTGTAAAATAGTGTCACCACTTTGAAAAACAGCTCCTCAGTTCCTCAAAATGTTATATATGACACAGAAATTCCCATCCTAGGTATATACCCAAGAGAACTGAAAACACAAATCCACACAAAAACTTGTACACAAATGTTCTTAGTAGCATTATTCATAATATTCGAAATGTGGAAACAATCCAAATGTCCATCAACTGATGAATGGATAAACAAAATGTGGTTTATCCATAGTTATGGGTTGTCTTGTGTTCCCCCAAAAAGACAGGTTGAAGTCCTAACCACCCGTACCTCAGTGTAACCTTAGTTGGAGTTGGATTACTGCAGATGTAATTAGTTAAGATGAAGTCATACTGGAGTAGGGTGGTTCCTAATCCGACTGGTATCTTTATAAAACGGCTATGTGAAGATCCAGACACACAGGGAGAATACAATGTGACAACAAAGGCAGATATTGGGGTTATGCAGCTAAAGGCAAGGAACGCCAAAGTCTGTCAGCAAACCAACAGAAGCTAAGAAGCAGCAAGGAAAGATTCTGCTCTACAAGTTTCAGAGGGAGTGTGGCGCTACCAACACCTTAATTTCAGACTTCTAGCCTCCAGGATTGAGAGACAATAAATTTCTATTGTTTTAAGCCACCGAGTTTGTAGTATTCTGTTATGGCAGCCCTAGGAAACTAACAGACCATGTGACGAAATACTATTCAGCCTTAAAAAGGAGTGAAGTATTGCTACATGCTATAACATCGACAAAGCTTACAATATGCTAAGTGAAAGAAATCACACACACCCAAGATTACATATTGTATGATTCCCTTTACACAAAATGTCCAGGATAGGCAAATCGACAGATGGTATATTAGTGATTGCCTGATGCGGGGGGCTGGGGGGGGGCAGGGGGGAAGAGAACAGGAGTAGGCAGAAAATAGTGAGGAACTTAATGGATACAGGGCTTCTCTTTGGGGTGATGAAAATGTTCTAAAATTATTTGTAGTGACGGCTGCACAACTGTGAATATATTAAATGCCACTGAATTGTACATTTTAAATGCGTGAATTGTACGGTAGGTGAATTATATCTCAAAGCCGTTTAAAAAAAAAAAAGAATTATGAAAGAAATTAACAGGAAGATATGATAGAGAGCTAGGGAGGGGTGGGGATACCTGAAATAGGGCATTAGGGAAGGGCTGTTACAAGAAGCAACGTGTGAAATTTGAGCCAAAACCTGAAAGATGACAACTGGGAAAGAGCACTTGAGCCAGAGGAAACGGTGCAAATGTCCTAGGGTGTGACTGGGCTTGGCCTATATGAGCAACAGAAAGACAAACACGGCAAGAGTATAAGTGAGGTAGAGAGCAGCATGGGATGAAGTTGGTAGACAGGCAGGGGCTAGACAGTGTATTAATTCTATAAAAATCATAGGTAATAAGGGCAGCTACAGTAAAAAAAAAAAAAACCAACAGGCTTATATAATAGTTACGTCACTTCATATTTAAACATCGATAACCACAAGAAGTAACTACTCTTACAGGTGTCCATTCTCAAAGTTACCTGAACCTGTTGGGTTTGGGCCAGGACTGGTCTTAGCAAGACCAATCTCAGACAGTCAAAATCAGCCCAAACCCATCCCTGGGCCAAGAGTTTCAGCTCTTGAAGGCATAAACATCGCAGTCAAAATCAGACTCCTAGGACTGTCCAACAGCAACCAAAATAAAGCCAAATAAATCCATTCTAAAGATCAGGGATTTTCCAAGATTTATGGAACATTCCTATGACTCAAAGAAAGTTCCAAGGAACAGGGAAAAATCAGACCACCTTTTAAAACAATTAAATGAGTATTTAACTCAATATGCGTGCCCTCAGTCTGCTCACCAATTCCTCCCTTTGGGACACAGACAATATCTGCATATTTGCAGGTCAAGAAATTTTGAAGTTAATTCAAAAGTTTGTTTTTCCCTTTCAGCCTCAAGTTGGCCTGCAAGTTTCAGCAAGGAAAGGTGAGACGGCAAAATTCAAGAAAGGTAATGCTTTGTGCCATCAACACTCCCTTTTCAGTTTCACTGAAATAGTTCTCCCCTGTCTCATCTGTTATACAGCTGTCTAAAACACCTGTTGACCTCATTATGGAAGTATGTCAACAACACCCAGAGACAGGCCTAAGGAGTATGTATGAAAATGTAATGAAGACATAAGATAACACATAAACATCTCAGATATAAACAGAACTGGCTAGCCTATTTACAAAATTTTAAATAACAAAGTGATGTTAACCAGAGAGCAAGACTACAAATAAATCCAGTAAGTGTATCACCACACATTTGAACAGAAGTCCACTTATCTCCTAAATAATAAACAAAAGTAGTAAAAGGTAGTACAAATAGTATGCTTTCCCATTTCCCCAAGAAAAAAAAAAAGTTCTAACCTAGAGGTTATCTGTAAAGCTGAAAAACAAAGTAAAACAAAAAACTCCAATGTGATTAAAATTAGTAAAAAATTGGACTTACTGTTTGGCCTGGTTAACATGAACCCCTAGCGTATAGCTCAGCCATTTATATGTCACCTGCAAGAAGAAGAAATTTTTTAAACGTTTAATTAGATGACTCCAGAGTGCAGGACAGTCCCAAGGGGTTCTAAAGATTCCTACTCTTAGATGATTACATCTTATAAATTACAATAGATGCCACCCCAGTTTTGTCAAGAACCATCCATCTGGGCAGGCAGGACTGAGAGATTTATCTTACAAATACTAAGTTTGTTTCACAGACCAATTAATGCAAAAGAGTCAAAAAAGAAAGGCTGAATATACACAGAAAGAAAAAGGCTCTCATTTTCTTCACATTCCTTGTTTTATTAAGGCTCTTTTATCACATCCTATCCTTTTTTGGGGCCACCACCAAAAATTATCCTCAAATTCACCCAGAAGCTAGATTTCTTTGAAGTGTGTGACTCAGAAACTTCTAAAGCAAGTTGCAGCCATACAAACAAACATCAAAGGGCACTGGTGGTGCAGCGGCCTGGGAATGAATGAAGTGGATGAATACTTTATCAGAGGTTAGAGGGGAACTGTTGCCATCAAGCCTTGATCTTCCTTCCAGCCTTCCTTGAACTCTCCTGTCACTTGTCGCTTCCTTGTACGCCTGTCACTCTCCTCTCAAAATCTTCCAATTCTAAATGTTGAGTTTCCAATAATTAGAAGACTTGGATAGGTCAGGTAAAGGCAATGTGACGCAGAAGACGGCATTAGCAAGAGATGGACCCAGGTTGGAAAACTGCCTATCCCCTACTAATTCGTATAAATCCTTACTTTATTTGTCCAAAGAAATTATTTGACCTCTTTCTTTTCTAGCTCTGGGTAGGTCACTGTAAAGATTAAATGCAATAATGTGGATCCAAAGCTCACAGTAGGCACTCAGTCACCACGGTTTGCAAAAGGCATTCACACCCATCGTCTCACTTGATCTTTACTCCACCCTGAGAGGCAGGTCAAGCCTGTATCAACACCAAATTTCCAGGAAGAGGAAATAACTTGTCACTTAACCCAGTTAAGACGTAATTTCCTCAACTGTAAACTTGGGACTTAAAACACCAACCACCTTATCAGATAGGTGTAGAGACGCCCTACAAATACTATCAACCGATGCCCCTCCCTCCGCGCGTGACCTCCACGACCCCTGGTGCGTGCGCCGTGCCCAGCCGACCTCTCCCGCGAGTCCTCGCTCGCCCCGAGGTGCGGAGACCTGTCTCCCCTCGCCGGTCCCCACGAGGCAACACGCCGAGGGGTCAAGGCCCCCGCCGCCCTCGCCGGGCCCAGGACCCCAGTTGCACGCCCTCCTTCCCCAGTCCTAGCTCCTCACGATCTTGTTCTGGTCCGTGACGAACTCGTCTATATTTTCCAGATAAAGCTGGTCCGCCATGGTGCTGCGGCGCCGGTCCCCGCCGCCTCGGAGCTCTCCTTGCCGCCACAACCGCAGCTCCCGCCGGCGGGAAACGTCTTTTCTCCCACCCAGGTCCCGGGTCGTTTCCACGGCAACGGAGGCGACGCGCTACGGCGGCCGTCCGGGGGTCAAACTAGTCTCCCAGATGGCGCAGGCTGAAGTGGGCGGAGCTTATGGGAGCGGGCGGAAGTGAGGAGGGCGGGGAGTGGGCGTGGTCAGGAGGGGCTGTTTGTGGAGCCCAGGTTTCGAATCTCCTGTCTGCCAGTTAATGACTGATCCACGGCAAAATAGCTCACCTCAAGGAGCCACAGTCTTTTCACATGAAAGTTGATGAAATAATCCTTGCCCTTTCATACCTTTATTCAACAAATATTTACCAAGTACCTATTTAATCGAGGCACTTCTTTGGCACTGGGGACCTAGCAGTGAACAATAAAGACAGAAATAAAGGAGTAATTTTAGTAGAGTGATGCCAGCCGGGATAAAGTACTGCTTGTTATAATCCCTCAGAATTGAGACATTAGCAAAGGTTCTTCCAGAGGGGATGGGAGACAGAGAGCGTTTCAGATACCGGCAGGAGCATTGCTGGTAAGAGAAAAGGGTTCATTATGCTGGAATGTTGAGAGAGGAGGCCAAAGAGGAGAGAAGAGACTTGGGAGGAGCCAAATCATGCTGGGCCGACAAGGTTGTGTGAAGGGGCACATGACCTTTATTCTCAGGAAAAGTTTGCAGGTTGGGGAATTTCAACTAAAATTTCTCGTAACATCTGCTAAAAAATATCCTTTATCATTGCCTTCAGCATAAGCCAGTGTAGTTCAATGCAGCAGCATTGTGGATAATCAAGCCGTTATCTGGAGTCAGAACCTGGATTTGAAATCCTGGTTTTGATATTTGTTGTGTGACCTTAAGTGAGTTATTTAACCACTGCAAGGCCATCTATAAGGTGGAAATAATAATAGTACCCACTTCAAAAGTTTGTTGCAACATGCATTCATTCCAGACACAGTTAGCAAAAGCCTACTAACGACCAGGCACTATTCTGGGTACTGGCGATACAGCTGTGATCAATAGTACATGGAACCTGTTCACATGTAGCTTACATTCTTGTGAAGATATTTAAGTAAGGATGGTAAATAGGATTAAAATAGGATAGTAGTAGTGGAAATTGAGAGAACCGAGTGTCTTTGGTTTTCTTTTTAGAGTCAGCAAAAGCTGCTGATGAATTAGATGAGTGGAATGTGGGAAAGACAGGAATCAAAGAAAATGCCTAGATATGGAACCTAAATTGTTAGGTAAATGGTAAAGCATTTGACTACTGAGATGTGGAAGACTGAGAGAAAGAGCAGATGAGGAAATGAAAGAATTCTATTTGGCCAGAGTTATAAATGAGATCCTATACATAAAACCCTCACACTGTGCTGTCTGCACACAATAAAATCAGTGACAGTTGGCTGTTACATTACTATATGCCAGGCACACTGTACTAGGTGCTTTGAGAGTGAGATTTCATTGAATCCTTATAGCAACCCTGCAAATGTGTTGTGTTTGTCCATATTTTATAGACTAAATTGCCTAGGCTTCAGAGAGGAGACATGGATTTTCCAGGTCACGGGTTCAGTGGTAGCATTGGGATTGGAACTCAAGTTTCTTGTCATTGCTCCACAGGAGTGGGAAATAAGTCAAGATAATTGACCCAAGAAGAGTCTTAATACTAACCCCATGCCAAAGGGAGAGATGAAATACTGTATAGAGCACCTGGCCCTACACGGCATGTCCTAGATATGCCAATATTAAAAGAGTTGCATGACTTTTAGAAGCCAGATTAGCAGTTACCCTTGGGAGGGTAGAAACTGGAAGGCTTCGGAGAAAACGGTAATGTTCTGGTTCTGGATCTGGGTGCGGGTCTCATGGGTGTGTTGAGTTTGTGAAAATGATTTGATCTGTACCCTTCTGATATGTATAGTTTTCCCTGTGTGTGTTCACACCAATAAAGAGTTTAAGAAAAGTGATTATTTGAGAAATCGTAACTACTGTGCCAAGTCTTCTCACACTAGGAAAATAGAAAATAGGTACAGGTGTTGGAAAGAATGGGTTTAATCTTAACCTTGGATAAGAGAAAAGAGGTTCTGGGAAGAAGGGGTAATGGGTAAAAATGGAACCCAGGCAAGACATTAAGTAATGGGATTATCAAATTAAGATAACCGACAAAGGCGTCTCCAAGTCCAAGGTGGAGCAATGGTACTAGAAAGGATGACCAGCTGTGCCCAGGCGTGGGTAGGCTGGGAGCTGGGCTTGTACCTTAAGGGCAGGGTTGCCAGAGTGGGAGGGGAAGGGATAGCTTTTCCATTTGTATCTGAGGCCTACCCAGCTTCAACATTCCCACCTCAGGGGAGGGTAGCTGAATGGAAAGCATGTGGGTTTTGCAAATATATTTTTCTTTTAAAAAGCAAGGAAGCAAACCAACAAAAATCTGTGCTTGAATCACAGCTTTACCACTTCCTAGCTGTGTGGACTTAGGCAAATCACTTAACTTCTCTAGTCCACAGTTTCATCTTTAAAGAAGGGACAATAATATGCAGTGGTGTGCTGATAAAGGTTTAACAACCAATTTGTGAAATAAAAAAGCCCTGATATGCAGCGGTTGCCAAGTTCTGTGGTGTAAATATCCCCGTCATAGCAGACTTCAAGCTACCAATATGGATGTCACTGAAGGCAGAGTTAGGAAAAGATACACACTATCGCACCATTTCTGCCATAAAGTACAGTAAAGAAATAACCTCAAGAGCATAAATACTAGTAAAATGCAGTAAAATAATTAGGAAGTGAGGAGATTTGTATCTTTATTGTCTTTGTTTTTAATATAATTTATTTAGTTATAAATTTATATAATTTAACTTTTAGTAATTGCTCTGTTTAACAACTGACTTGCAAACTTTCTGAATCTTCAACTTTTGGCTCTTCTAAGCAAGTAAAGACCAGCTCTAGCACACCACTATAAATCATTTACCTTGCATGATTAAGGGTATGAAAGGGTAACATGTTCTGTGGCTGGCAGATAGCTAAGCTTTCTATAAGTAGTAATTACTATTGTATAACAAACACTTATATACCACTAACTATATGCCAGGCTCTGTTTCAAGTGCTTTACAAATATTAACCCATCTAATGTCTGTAAGAACCCTAGAAAGGGGGCTGGCCTGGTGGTGTAGTGGTTAGGTTCACGTGCTCAGCTTCAGTGTCCTGGGGTTCATGGGTTCAGATGCTGGTGCAGACCTACACACAGCTCATCAAGTCACACTGTGGCGGCATCCCACATATAAAATTGAGGAAGATTGGCATGGATGTTAGCTGAGGGCCAATCTTCCTCACCAAAAAAAAAAAAAGAGAGAGAGAGAACCCTAGAAAGGAAGGCATGTTATTATCCCCTTTTTCCACATAAGTAAACATTGGCACAGAGAGGTTAGGTAAGTTGCCCAAGCTCACAGAGTAAGTGGCAGAGCTAGAATTAAAACCCAGGCAATCTGGTTTTTTTTTTCAAGGAAGATTAGCCCTGGACTAACATCTGCCACCAATCCTCCTCTTTCTGCTGAAGACTGGCCCTGAGCTAACATCCATGCCCATCTTCCTCTACCTTATATGTGGGACGCCTATCACAACGTGGCTTGCCAAGCGGTGCCACGTACGCACCCGGGATCCAAACTGGCGAACCCCAGGCCTCCGAGGCGGAATGTGTGCACTTAACCGCTGCGCCACTGGGCTGGTCCCCAGCATCCATGATCTTAAACACTGTATTTTGCTGTCTCATTATGAGTTTATACCGGCATATAGGAAAACCAATAATAAATACAGTGAACTCAAACACATTTTATTGCAGAACGTTAGAATCTCTGTGCACGTCAGTCAAGTGAGAATTGCTGAGAATTGCGGAAGCCAGGTAATAAATGGTATATTGAGTATCTACAGGATGTGGGAACATAAAATCCAGGCAAAGAGGAATTAATCTTGGAAGTTTTCAGGGCAGTTGTTGGAGGCGCAGGGGAAGAAGGTTAGTTTGATTAGGTTTAGGCAGGGAATCACAGCTAGCAAATGCCAGTAAACAAGCCTAGGACTGTGTCCAGAAAATTAGTGTTTTTTCTAGATAATGCCTGACAGCTTAGTTCTAGGGTCAAAACTAAATCAGAAAAGAGGATTCCTCTGCACTTTCACTTCCATAATCCTAGGTGTGAAAGTCTTCCAGCTCGTGTGCATTGCTGAGATGATAATAACTATCATCCATGGGCACTTACCATGTTGTGAGCACATCACATAGAACGACTCATTTCATCCTCACATAACCCTGTTACATTCTGTTATCCTGGGGCCAGCCCGGTGGCGCAGAGGTTAAGATTGCACATTCTACTTTGGTGGCCCAGGGTTCGCCGGTTCAGATCCCAGGTGTGGACCTATCACCGCTTGTCAAGCCATGCTGTGGTAGGCGTCCCACATATAAAAAAGTAGAGGAAGATGGGCACAGATGTTAGCTCAGGGCCAGTCTTCCTCAGCAAAAAGAGGAGGATGGGCGGCAGGTGTTAGTTCAGGGCTAATCTTCCTCAAAAAAAAAAAAAGTGAAATGTAAAAGGCAAATCTCCAACAAGGAATAGTACCTTGATTCCAACCTACACCTGAAATGCTGCTTCTTTAAAACAAGCAAAAAAAGACAACTTGCTCCCTGTTCCTTAAGGATGAGGCTTGACATCGATGTTAAGAACAAGAGCATTCTCCAGAAACCAGACCAATCAACCAAGTATTTGCTAACCAAGGGAGACCAGGCAAAGCTCTTGGGGATGGTGGTGTCAGGTGATACCAGCAGTGGGAGCCAGAGGATCAAGACTCACCAGAACTCCCCGTCTCAAAAGAGAACCTAAGGTTGGTGTCAGAAAAAGAAGGCTGAGTTTCCTCTCCTCCTCATCTCCACTTCATCCCAAAATGACTGACATCAGAGAGGCTAATGATTCTGAGGGGCATGGGGTGGGAAATCTAGACAGGGCTCCATATTTGGGGAGGGGAGGGGTGGTCAACCCG